TTACTTTGTTGCCTGAGTGAGTCAAGTTTAATATAAACACCAGACGGCTACGTGGGCGGAGCATCGCTAGGGCCTGTGATATAGACAATGCTGTTCGAGTGAAAACCCGATCACTGCAAAAGGACAACTAGAGTGATGCTGACCAGCAGTAGAATATGTGAAGCCGAAGGCAGATATAAGCCGGAAAGTGAAACAGGAAGGTATAGGCGTGCAAATCGGGAGATGGCCTGCATCTCAGTGATAGTCAGGCAAGGAGCAGAAGGCACAAGCCTCATAAGGAACTCGGTTGAACCTAATCATAACATTCCACTCACACGTATATACATGTATATTATATGTGAGGAGGAATGGGAAAAGGGACCTATAATATGGCTGGAATGTGAAAATTAAGTTTTTGAGGTGTTTCACAATTTTCACATTCCAGCCATATAGGTCCCTCTTCCCAATGCCTCCTCACATAATATAGTAAACAATGAGCTGTGTGTGAACAACTTCATTACCTTTGGGAGGGTTCACTTTGTGCATACATGTGTGAATTTGGGTTGCGTAATAATACTACATGTCTAATACACATGGTCACCCCTTTCCTAAAGGCCAAGTGTTGGGTCAGACAAAAGTCTAATGCAACGTGAATGTGTACAAGTGCTGCGCTCATGGCAGCCTTTATAAATTCTTGATGCCAGAGAGAGAAGTTGCGGTATGCTCTGCTGATGAGGGCCAACAAGCCCGAAACAGCTGTCCAGAGCTCCCCATCTTTTTTCTCTTGGCATCACGTGGTGTTTCTACATGAGGGTGATGGGACCAAGGCGTCCAGTTCGTGTGATACTGAGTATGAAAATATGCACGGTCCCCTCGTTTCGTTAGGGTGGGTGGGTAATTACATTCTTTCTGTCCATCTTGTTCTTGATGTCGCTGGCCAGCATCAGGAATGCCTGCAGGAGAAACAGAAACCAACTTAACCTCCCACTGGCCTATATGCACCTCAAATGTATGGACATAATGCTGTACTATTGTACTATGCTACTGTGTATACTGAAACACAAACCAACACACTTCCTACTTTCCTTTACAATATTATTATTATATGTAGTGCCAGATTTTGTGTGTCTGATCTGTACATAAAGTGGGTGTGGCTCACTGTTTCAACGTGAAATCCTGACTTTGCACTGGTTTCCATGAACTTAACCCCATGTTCATCTGCGAGCTGAAGACGAGAGAGGGAGAGAGGAAGGAGTGGAGATAAAGGGTTAAAGGAGAGAGGAAGGAATGGAGATAGAGTGAAAAGGGTTAAAGGAGAGAAGAAGGAATGGAGATAGAGTGAAAAGGGTTAAAAGAGAGGAAGGAATGGAGATAGAGTGAAAAGGGTTAATTAAAAGAGAGAGGAAGGAATGGACATAGAGTGAAAGGGTTAAAAGAGAGGAAGGAATGGAGATAGAGTGAAAGGGTCATTAAAGGAGAGAGGAAGGAATGGAGATAGAGTGAAAAGGGTTAAAGAGAGGAAGGAATGGAGATAGAGTGAAAAGGGTTAAAAGAGAGAGGAAGGAATGGAGATAGAGTGAAAAGGGTTAAAAGAGAGAGGAAGGAATGGAGATAGAGTGAAAAGGGTTAAAGGAACGGGGAGGGGGGGAGAAAGGGATAAGAGGAAAAGAGAGGAGAAAGAAAGAGGAGAGAGAGAGAGGATACAAAGAGGAGGAGAAAGGAGACATCATTCTCAGTTCTCCCATTCCCCCATTCCCATACCAGCTTCCCCCTCTCCGTGCTGATGACGCGAGACTCTGAGAGATCGCACTTGTTCCCCAGGATCATCTTGTCCACATCAGACGAGGCATTCTGCACACACACACACACACACATCACAGGACAAACTCAAGGACTTGTGATAGAGAAGAATAACTTGGAAAAAAGCGACGGAATTTGAACCCTCTCTAAGGGCACGGTCACATCCATGAAATGAGGACACCTCTCTAATAAAGTCGTCTTTTCCTTCCCCCAAGAACAGTTCTTGCATGCAATTCAACCCCCGAAATAAGGACATCTCACTAATATGGACAATTTTTTCTGTCCCATTGGTGTCTGGATTAGAAGGGCTATATATGTTCGCCACAGAACTGCAAATGTTCATACCTCCTCAATGTTTCTGATCCAGTTTCTGATGTTATCGAAAGACTTCTCGCTGGTGACATCATACACCAACATGATCCCCTAGGAAACGACAACAGGATAAACACACAGATACACATGTGCTGTCACCAACATGATGATCACCTAGGAAACGGAAACATTACAGATACAGACGTGCGGCGCAGCGTCATGGACACTGAAAACGTAGTTGTTTGGCACAACCCTCTCGTCCCAGCTTTGATCAAATTTGGCTGAGACCACGCTTTCGTTAGCTCACGCACACACAACAAGAAAGAAGTGCATGGTTACCATGGCGCCACGGTAGTAGGCGGTGGTGATGGTCCTGAACCGCTCCTGGCCAGCGGTATCCCTGGCAACAGACAGATAAACAATCTCACAGGTGATTGTATAACTTTCACACAGAAGATACATAATACACTTCGGTTGGTATGTATCATTACATATACACAGCACCTATGTATATACAATGGACAAAGTATAGAAATATACTACTGCATAGAAAGTACACAATATTATAGAAACCTTCGCCAGGTAACCAAATGGACTCAAGGGCTGATTGTAACGTGTGCCCACTACTTACCAGATTTGTAGCTTTATCTTTTTGCCATCGATTTCTACCGTTCTGATCTTGAAATCAATGCCTTCGAAGAGAAGAGAGAGAAGAGAGAGTGGGGAGAGAGAGAGAGAGAGAGAGAGAGAGTGGGGAGAGAGAGAGTTAGTGAGGGAAGGAGGGAGGGAGAGATAATGACGAAACTGACACTAAAAGAAGATGTCCACGGCGGCTAACCACACTTTCAAAACCTTTTCAGACACACAAAACACATAACACACTCACAAGTTCTAAATTGAAACCCAATAACAAACACCTCGACACATACCGTACGATACTACATGCTCCAGTACCTGCCTCGGTCCCCTTACCACCATACTGTAGCATTCTTAGGAGAACCAAATGTCGTCTTCATAAAAAAATTTGTGAGTCAGGGTAAACGCCCCCTCCCCACATTACCACAGTACATATGGTAACAGTAATACAGTGCATACACAACAAGCGCGGTTTGAAAGTACAAACACAGAATGCTAACGCCCTTCACCAGGGGCTAAGGCCACGCCCACACCAATCACTTCTAAAACACGAACACACCCAGTTGTCAAAAACTTACCTATGGTGGATATGAACGTGGAATTGAAGGCGTCCTCGGAGAATCTCACCAGGATACACGTCTTCCCCACTCCACTGTCGCCTATTAGCAGTAGCTTGAAGAGAAAGTCGTAGGTTTTCGCCATGTCGACTTCTAGCGGTCACACCCAACGGCGCCGCGCGGCCCGCGCTCGCTCGCAGGCTAGACAAGCAGCTGGCTAGGACTATCTCACTGTATATACGGTTGGCGGGCTCTCCTGCCTTTACACCTCACGCTAGAGATGACTCAGCTAAGTGAAGTTGGGAGTCGACGGCACAACAAAAAGGGGGCGCTGACCAGATAAGCGCGCACCAAATTGTAATCTTGACGTCACTAGGTTAATTTTTGCGCGCGTGATGCGCATGCGCATTTCCTTAACGTACTCTGGGGGATAAAAATAATGTTGTATATACTATAATAATATTTACACAAGCTAGCTACAGGCTGGTCTGTCTGAATATGAAAGAACAGTCACATGATTGTATATTAGCTTTTGATGTTCCTACAGCTTTTTGAACTTGAACTCAGTCGAGAGGACGTCGTCCACGAGGTAGTCAAAGTAGGTGCCATCAATGAGACCCTCTCCCTGGAAGCCAGGGTTCATGGCCACCCAGCAGTAGTTGCTGGAGTCCATAGCCTCTCTCTCCATGAAGGCCCATACCGGCTTCCTCTGGATTGGCACCGGTTCCTTCCCTGGGATCATGAGGATCTTACGAACCTCGTCCAGAACCACGTCGTGGTGGAAGAATTGACCTGTGCACACGTAGGAAAACAGTTATACATTCCTCTTGTGTGGTAGCTAGTAAAGATTGCTTACCAATGAGTCCGTGAGAATCTGCAAGGTTCTGTCCAGTACTGTGCCAGTAGAGATCGAGATGTTCGGTCATAAACTTGACACTGAAACTCAGTTCCACGTCTTTGAGATCCACGCGTACAAACGGCTGCTTGTATCCCTCCATTGGAGGTGCTTCAGAAATTGTCAGCTTCCCGTTCTGAATGGTGATCTTCTCAATGTTCCTTGCATCCAGGACCATCTGGTCGTCCACGTGGATCTTGTTCTTGATGGCCTCGAAACGGAGCTTGGTCATGTTGGACTTCTTGTAGCCGTTGTTGTTGACGACGATGCCCATGTTACCAAGCCAAGTCACCTCCTCTCTGTCTCTGTCGGGAACAAACATGGCATTCATGTAGACCTTCTGGTTGCTGATGAGGTTGAAGGCAAAGCCGTGCTCTCCCTGGACAGTGTAGCAGAGAGTCTTGCCCGACTCCAGAGTCACCGCAAAGTGAGGATCGTCTCCAATGTCAGGGCCAATCGGCCTGCAAGTGAAGTTTCTGGGGCACCTAAGCTCCTCGCACATCTCAAAAGCTCCACAAACATCTTCATCATCACAGTCCTCTGTGGTGGAAATGAAACAGAGAGAGAGCATTATTTATAGAAGTTTTTCCCAAAAGTGGGCATATGGTATGAAAAGTGTAACACACCATCATCGATGACTCTGATGGTAATGTTGTCGTTTGCAATGTTGCATCTTGTGGGGTCATTGGAGGTTAGACTGATAAAGAAGTACTCGGTCATTTCGGCAGTGAAGTCATCCAAAATCTCAATGTGGAATTCACAGTCCGAGTTCGAGCTATCCAGAATACAGGTGGCGTCTAATGTCACATAGTCACACGAAGCTGGAAGAGAATTGTCATTTAGAGACTCACATCTTATACATGGGCCACAGACTTACACCCAGCGGTTCCGCTTTCTGTTTCCACTGAAATCTCACAGGATACACCAGGTCCCTTGATAACTGAATTGGTGATACTGATGTCAAAGTAAAATCCTTCGTCGGCGCACTCTGTGACAATGTAGGCTCCATCTGCAAACTCGTTGGGGTCTGCATTTGTCAGAGCGACTTGAGCCACTGTGTGAGAGTGAGATATCCATGAGTTTTACATCGTATTCTGTGTGGGATTAAAAACTCACCATCATTATCCGTGATAGTCACACTTGTAGAAGTTGGAGGGACAGTGATGGCGTTTGGATCAGTTGAAGTCAAATCAACAAAGATTGTTTCGCTGTTTTCACAAACATTATCGTCTTCAATCGGTATGCTGATGCAGAGCATATTCCCAGTGTTACCAGAGTTATAGGTCAATGCCATAGACACTGAGGTATAATCAGCGGGTGCTGTGGGGAGAGATGTAATAATAGTATAACACTCGCACATCATACTAATATCAACAAAATGTCTTGCAAACAATAAGTTGACTGCTTGTGGTCTCACAGAACGTGGATGTAACTTGGCAAGGTATCAAATCGTAAACGGAACACAAATTTACTACTTTTTTACCATTAGCACTTCCACCCCTAGTTGCCAGGTTTACGACGGCAGTTACTCCTGAAGCGAGTTGTCCACTGACGACCTCAACACACACAAGTGCCGGCCCTCCACCCTCAGGAACATCAGTAGGTGGCGGCACTATTCTTATCGGCAACGCTGGAGATAGAATTGAAATTATAGTTATAATAGTCCCTTTTTATTGGAATGCGACCTATTGCTTAGCTATGCTCACCGTCGTCATCTTGAATAGTGACTGTGGTTCCGGGGCCAATGGAAACACCAGGTGGTAGTGCTGCACCAGGTACGGCAACAAGAATAATGGTCTCTGGATTCTCAACAATTGGGTCCTCCAAAATGGTTACATCGACACACTGCCTCGTGTTGCCGGCAGTAAATACTAACGGGGGGTTTCCAGTGACAGCGTTGTAGTCCAAACCAGCTGTGAAACAGAGAACAGAGGAATGGAGGAGGGTGGAAGATTTGCACTAGCTACCATCCGAATGGACTGCAATTTCTCTTATAATCAAAGTACTTGATCAACCACTTACAGAGGGAAAAGTTATTTTATGGCGATGCAAACACAATTCTACACACCTCAGTACATCCCCTCACTTGATCCTTACCCGTTGCACTTCCTCCAGAAGAGATAACTTGTAATGTGATGGATGAGGACGGGGAGAGACTGTTGCTATTGCATATGATACAGACCTCCACCGTTGTATCATCTTCTACGACAGTTGGTCCATTTGTTGGATCAAAGTTGCACACAACTGAGAATGGTGAGAAAGGTCAAGTATTATTATCCAGTAGCAACTTAAGAAAACAGAGCTATAGACAGTATATAAGGCAGTACTTACTCAGGTCGTTAGTCTCTGCGAAGATGATTGTGGCACGGTCCCGTCCAGGTGATACAACAGCATTACCGCTAGTAGTGATATCAACAAAAAAGTTCTCCCCATTCATCTCCAGTACATTGTCGTTGATGATAGTGATGTCTACACACCGACTGGTCCCTGTTACAGACCCAGCAGGGAATGTGACCATATTCGGGACAGGCAGAGCCACATAGTCCATCGGAGCTGCATGAGATGCACGAGAGACCAGCATGAATACCACTCCAAGGGATTGTTACTCAGAGTTCTCACCCATAGCAGTTCCAGGTTGAGTGGTGAAATCGACACTCACAGGCACAGGAATGCTTCCAGGACTGAAAATTTGAACACACACTTCTATCTGACCAGGCATCATCTCTTCATCGACATTGTACACAATCTGCTGTAGGCCAACAACGGGTCCTGTAAGGGAACGTGGAGAGAGTGAGAGAGAGGGAAGAGAGGGAGAAATAGGATGAGAGTGGTTTAAGGACTGGATACAGAATGTTTACAAGCTCACTATCATCATCATTAATGATGCAAGTTGCAAATTCTGTAGCAACTAAAACGTCGGGGTCATTTGTTCCAACTCTTAGCGAGAAACTCTCGGTGAGTTCGGGGACAGCATCATTTGTGATTGATACAAAGAAATCCTGTGTGGATCCAGGAACAGAGAGAGCAGGGAACCCCACAGGAAAATCGGCCAGACCAGTAAAGTCGCCTGGAACTGAAGGAGAAAAGTGTACAGGTGTTGGTTTCACGTTTCGCACAAGTGCCAACCTGTAGCTATCCCGGGAGTGGTAGAGACTAGTGCAGTAAAGGTTGTCAGAGGAATTCCACTCCCTGGTTCCAACCGAAGTGTGACTGTCATTGGCCCACTTCCTTCAGTCACCGAATAGGTACCCGTTGTAAATCCATATATAATTCCTACACCACAAGACAGTGAGGACGTAAATTACACAGTTTTATGTAAATGGTAAATATGAGCTTGAGCTTACGGTCATCGTCAATAATTGCAACTGTAGCAGGAGATCCACTGATTAATGCCCTCGGATCACCAGAGGTTACTGCCACACTGAACGTCTCCCTGCCTTCAACAAAATTATCATCGATGATGCGTATATTGACAGTCATGGGCCCAGAAGCCCCCACTGGGAAAGTGACTTGCACGGCAGAAAGTGGGGTAAAGTCCATGGTCGCTATATGGGGGAATAACCCGGCGCAATTAATAATGGCATTGGAGTAAGAGAACAAATGCCGTGTACCTGCAGCGGTCCCAGGAGCAGTGGACACCAGAAGGGTGAGATCTGAGGGTCCGGGAATGGCATCGAGTGGTGAGATGACAAGTACAGCATTCACAGCACTTTCAGGAACCTCACTACTTTGGAGCGCGATGTTAAACCTCACAGCTGCAGAGTAAGGGGGGCGGGGGGGTCATCAGGTACACAGTCAATGGGGAGAGTGTTATAAACATACCCTCGTTGTCAAGAATGGTAACTGGAGAGTCGAATGGGTTCACGGCAGACGCAACTGCAGCAAAAGGACCATTGACGGAAAGCACTACTCGGAAAGTCTCGTCTGATTCCAGTACTGCATCATCCACTATTGGGATGCTGAGAAGCATAGGACCACTGTTCGCAGGGTTGAATGTAAAGACCATTGTTGATGTAGCGTAGTCAGCAGGTGCTGCAGATAGAAAATTGTAAAGCATCGGTTTTTTGGAGGAGGTATTAATACTGAAACTTACCAACAGCACTTAATGGGTTGCTAGATGCGGTACTGACAGTCACTTCGATGGCTATACCCAAAACGGCTCCATTTGCAATCAGAGCAAACACATTCAGTGCTCCTCCACTCTCAGCAATAGTGTATGCTGCCATATCCAATTGAAATTCAGCCCCTGCATAATTATAACACAATCAACAAATGAAACTTGGCTTTGATAACATACTCACGTTCGTCTATATTAATGAAGACCGTGGCTTGTGAATTGAGACCAGCAGGATCGATGAGACCAGTTGGATTAATGAGACCGAATTGAATGTCCTCAACAACTTCAACAAGATTATCATTGATGATTGGAAACGTGAAACACTGTGTGGAGGAGGTGAGTGGGCTTTGGGTGAGAGGTGTGCCAGCAGTGAATAATAGAACGGCTGGGCTGAAAGATGAAATGAAATCCACACCGGGGGCTGCAGGCATGAGAATCAGCAGGATAAAATTGTCAATGAGGGGACATTTGACCACATACTTGCAGATCCACCTATGACCTGTGGGGTAACAATACTAGTCCCACTCAGCATAGTGACTGCTGGCGATCTTGCAACGATTGCAACACACACTTCAGCAGTTCCAGCATCCTCGTTCACGTTGTAAGTGACTGGCTGGAAGACAGCGCCAACCACTGCAGTGGAGAGTTAATAAATGTACTCTTCTGTTAGTATGGTAGCTATACAACTCACGTTGGTCATTGTCATCAATTGTAACAACGGCTTCGTCTCTACCAACTCTTGTGGTAGCGTAAGGTGACGAAGTAGTAAGAGCTACGTTAAACACTTCATTAGGATCAACCTCTACATCATCTGTCACATCGAATTGGACGCAGACTCTTGTCTGACTAGCTGACAATGTCACCGTATCTGGAGTCACCTCAAAATCGACGGCTACAACAAAAAGAGAGGGAGAGGAAAATTGTATTAGTTAGTAAATAGAGAATTTTGTAATTATACCTTGTGCAGCATTTGTTGGGGATGCAACAGAAGATGATATCTCAGCAACGATCACTGGTGTAATAGCAAGACCAAAGTCTACCCGAATAGCTTCAAAGACCCCATTGATTCCATTAACAAAGTCAGCTGGGTCCACAAAAAGAACAGCGCATATTTGTTCTGTCACTCTCGTTGTTTCGCTCCCAATGTATGTTGTCCTCTCGAGTCCAATTTCAACTGCAGAGGAAACATCACAACAGTCAATACAACTGAATTATAATATCAGCTACACTCTCTTACGTAAACAGGGGCGTTCGTTGGGCATGCTAATGCCAAACAGTGGATTATCGACAAACCCTGGTAGACAAACTCGGCATCCAACATCAAACTCAGTTGTTTGGCAGTTTTGTGTGTAGTTGCATCCACCATAGTAGGGTAAAAGACACTTGTCTATTTTGTAAAAAAGAATATCGTGGTATATTGCTGCTATCAGTCCCACAAGATAGAGATACTTACTCTCGCATATCGTGGTAGTTTCATCATCTCCACCTGGACAATCTCTGTTTCCATCACAGAGGGTGCTAGCACTGACTTCAATTCCAGGCGAACACGCAAACGTACTACCAGCGGGATCACCACTGTCACCTGCAAATAATGTTCAAGCGGCAGCACATTACGCGCGCCGATCGGACGGACGTTTTGCCCGATTTACTATTCAGCGAGCTAAGTGGACTTACAATCAAGAGCGGCGAGGTTCAAACCCTCGTCGCTCCCTCCTGAGCAAAAAGGTGGTCCTCCGTTGCACAGTTCGGCTCTAGAGTAGCACACCAACGCATTGGTCGTGAAGGGGCAAGAAAGATTGTCTTCAGGGTCGTTTGGATTGGGGTCTTCCCCAGGGGCCTCGCAAGGGAGCGCTATCCCACTGATGCCCTGTCCGGCGGTGCGGCGGGCAACAGCAAACAACAGAAACAGCAGCACCAATTTACGAGCGGCAATGACAGCCATCTCTCCGCACCGCACGTAGCTACAGCGTCTCAGAGAAATGAAACAAGTTGTTTCAAGTGGACAACTAGGTTTTATGTACGGTGGTTGGGCAAGTCTCGCCCAGCTCCGCCCTGCGGGAAAAGGAATGACGCGCGGCTATCTCGGCCTGTTACCGTCCCGGATCCCAGCGAGCGAGCGTCTCTGAGTTGCGCGTGCGCACGCTGACATAAGAGCTCGGCAATTTCAGCGCAGACAACATAACACTGCAGGTCGGTTCTAAAGTATTAAACTAGGCCGTCCACTTCGCATCTCCAGTCGGCATAAACATCGGTTGTTTCACATAGACTGAAATGAAAGAGACCACCGGTCAAAGCGCGTTACAGCTAGCTAGCTAGCTGAATGTGGGGTACCTCACCATGTGACTCTGTTCAGAGGGAGAGCAAATCCGATACTATACACGGCTCCACTGTGTGTGCAAGATGGTTCGCACCGGTCGGCGGTACAACGCCACCTCTCTCCACTCACACCATCACTCTCACAGTAGCTGTCGATCAATCAATGGGCAGTTAGGAGCTACAATTAGCTGCCATCCTACATTGATACTATCTAGACACAACAGGACATTGGAAAGTGTTGATAATAGTGAATTGTACCATTTAATCAGGGGGGGGGGATTTAATTTAAACTGGATTCAAAAACTAATTAATTGGTGAAAGAAAGGTGTCCTGAGAGGTGTGAGTCCTTAGAGAGAGGTTGCAGTGAGAATAATTATGACTGTGCTTACCACCAGTTGCATCCAATTTCCACCCGGTCCCCTAGGAGATACTCTCTTCCATCGTATCGACACACTATAATATGGCAAGGATATAACAAATGAAACACTTATACAAAACGTGTGTTACATCCACGAAAAGCATATATATATAGCATACTAGCCACAGAGAATAGAAAACCAGAAGTCACCCTCCACCCCCCATCCTCCACCCCCCACAGACGCAAACAACACAGTTGCACACAACAAGGTAGGACACCAGGTGCCCAGCCTTGAGAACTGGGGCGGTGGGTTAAAGAGTTTTTTTTTATGGCTAGCCAACTCTCCCCACACACCTAGTGTCCAAACCCAATGACAAACAATCACAATGACAGTTACTATACAGAGGCAGTATAAAATATAAAATATATATTTGTGTATAAAAATAGAAAGAACTGATCAAGAAAAAGAAGCAAAACCGTGTTATTTTGTGTATATACCTCCACACTTTTGTCCATTCTGTGAAAGTGTCTTGTCACTCGGACACTCGCATGAGTAGCCATCCTTATGATTAATGCAGACATCAGAACACACATTATCTCCACTGCTCTCGCATTCATTGATATCTGTAGTTAGCAAAAAGATATGTATTTTGCTGCCATACAAAATTATGATGTCCTAACAACTACTGTAAAACTAAAAATTGCTTGTAGCAAAGTTTTGAATTTCATGAATTATTTTCATGTTTTGGTACAGACCGGCTATGAGAAGATTTTGTCACAAGGTTACTTTAAGTTAGTCATACACTACATTATATTATAGCTACTACTTTAAACTAAAACTATAGTTAAAGAGCTACCTTCAAATGAATAGAGAGGGCAGCACCTTCCAGGAAATTTGTTTCCTCTGTATTCAGGTATTGGTTGGACCCCCAGACTCCCCTCCATCAGTAGGGGGCAAGATATGTCGGGGCAGAGACACTCGAACGTGACACAGCACTCAGAGTGGCGAGTCTCGACAAAGATAGAGTCGGGTGGACACGCGTACGGCTGTGTGGGACACTGGCAGGAGGTTATTCCAGAGAGGAAGCAGCCCGGGCCTTCTGTGGGCTTCAGGCACACCAGCGGTTCATCAGCTACGAGTCGAGAAAAGATTCATTTTCAAGATTAAACCCGGAAATCTGGACACCAATGGGATAAATGTTTCCTCATTTCAGGGACTAAGATGCATGCAACAAAATGTTCTTGGGGAAAACAGAGGTCTTGCACTGAATGTACCATTGCAATGAATGAGAGTGTCACCCACAAACCACTCTGCAGTACAACCACCACAGTAGTTTGGTCGACACACTGCCTCATTTGTTAGAAGGACACACTGCATTGGTGCATGGATCTCCAGAACACGTTACTAGTGGAACACCATCTGGACATTCTGTTAGACAGGAAGGTGAGAGAGAGAATGTGTGTGTGTGTGAATTCAATGATCCATGTAAGGCCTTAGTTATTGAGAATTGACATTCCTCTACCGCATAGGTTGGGTCCCGCAAAAGTCAGTGCTAGTAGCACACTAGCACCGAATTCTGCTGGTAGTCAGGCAGAGTGGATCTGCTGAGTAGCAATTGTGCAAATAGAGCCACTGTGTTAATAGGAAGGAGACCTAACTGATGCTCCAGGAATGAACTAACCACAGTTAGGAATGGCATGTTGCAATAGACACAGAGCCCGTGTATGGGCACTGTAGGGAAGGCTTCAAACACCTACATAGTCTAGACATGTAGGAAGATGAACATAGTATATAGCAATGAGGACACACATAGTAAAGTGAATGCATCAAGTACTGTAACTTTAGACAAGTATTAAAGGGGTTCTGGACTCCATTCGAACTTCATGGCTGGAATGGTACTATAATTGCCAAAGACTTTTAGACAATGTAAACTAACAGCTCACGCTTTACAGAAGAAAACAGACGAGATAAATGTCCATAACTTTTTAATGAATGGCTCATAAAGTGTGTATTTCCGTAACTTTTTTCCAAGTTAACGTTTTCTGAACACAACTATAATCTTTACAAACCTCTTGTCTCGGCTGGTTCAGGTGTTCGTGTGTCCAGTTCACAGTTTGTTCCAGCAAAGCCCTCCAGACACAGACAGCTATAGTTTTGGGGGCTCGCTCTACGTGCCCCTACATCAGCACACGTGGGATCAAATTCACTCCCATTGCACACCCCGTTATTCAGACAAAACGAAGGGACGACCTCAATGTTGACTGTGATACTGTTACTCAGAGCGGCGTTTGTGTCTCTGGCCGTGATGCTCACTGTGTCAGAGCCCGTAAAATCTGGGGGTGGAGAGTAGGTGATGTTGACTGCCATGAAAGAAACGTAGCCAAGAAACGCTTCGTCAGGAATCAAAGTTGCAGGGAGCGACTCAAAAACGCTTACAACGTCCAACCAGATTTCAGTCCCTGCCTCGCCAAATTCCCCGTCTTTTGTGGAGACGAAAACGTCGTCGAAGTATCCGTCGGAATCAAACGCCACGACCTGAGCTACGGACACAGGGGAACTCCGGTTGCCCTCCACTACCACGCTCAGCACAGTATCAGTTGTGATGTCGCTCTCTGTTTCGGAGGCTGGGTCGAAGGCATAGAGAAGAGGTGCGTTGTTCACATTCTCTATCTCCACCACCAGAACTCCACTAGCCGTGAGCGGGATATTGTTGAACCCAAACGGTTTCTCGACAATTAAAATCTGGAAACTGTCAACTCCAGTGCAGTATGTGCAGGGTGCGTATGACAGCAAGCCGTCCAGAGTCAGCGAAACGTTTCCAAGTCTCGGTGGAGACGCTAGATAAAACTCCACTTGGTCGCCTTCCATGTCAGTATAGCAGAGCTGATAGTCTGACAGACTTGAACCTTCCACGACAGATAGTGGGTCCCCTGGTAGCTGGAGCTGCGGTGGCGTGTTGGCAGAAGTGTCTCCGATCCCCACCACAATGAACTGAACCGGACCACTGGAGAGGTACAATGGTTCCTCAGTGGTACCACCACCACCACTGCCACTGGCACTACCACTACCAACAGTCTGTCTACGCCGGCGCATTTGATCATCAGTTCCTACTACATCAGTCGAGCACATCTGTAGACACACACACACAGACAGCATCTCTTTAATCTGACATCCAACACACGTAGTGTGTATATACAGCATTTTGAGAAATATATACATGCTTGGCTAGGAAAAAAACTTGTATACAGTAGGTCTGCAGATGTGAGGGAAGATAAGTGCTCTATATATTGTACAGTGTGCTTATATACTTTGTGACAATCAACTGAATTATGTATGCATAAAGTCCATGCTATATAGAACCTTCAAGCTCACTGATATAATTATTATTAAACATCAGAGGTCAAAAGTAAGCACCTGTGCGGATATTGTAGAGATGCTCCAGTCGACGGTAGATGCAATTCCACATGACGCATTCACCTCCCTCCATACCTCGTGATCTGCGTAATAAAAATAGCATCGCAGAAATCTCCAAACTGCTAAGTGTGTTGGTGCAACACCACGTGGAATCCCTCCCTTACAACATACGTAGTCATCTTAGAGAGAAAACTGTGAAATTTGGAACTTCACTCACAAAACCTTTGCGGTTTTTGTGCTTTCTCTCTGTGTAAATGTTCCCAATATACCCACTTGTGAGTTGGTCCTAAAACTGCAAAATTATTCTCCCTCAAAAGCTACTTACTTCTGTCCCAGTAGAAGATATCAAGGAGGAAGCTCTCTCTGTTGAATGAAGGGTCAAATGTGGAGTTTATTGCGAGTGGTCCACGCAGGGTGTCTAGTCCAAGGAAAGACACAAAGAAACTGGGACCAGCCACTACTGCAAACCTGAGGAAGGACAACAGCCAGGAGTTCCCTTACTGCTTTAGGCTTATGTTTAATTTTGTAAGAGAACATGTCTTTGGTAAAAGAAATATGGAACATTCACTGCAAAACACTTTACTGAACCACGAACACAGCAAGTTAACAAAAATACTCTGCACTAAAGCCATAAACCAGTGACCTACATAGGTTTATGTACACGCATGTATTAGAGAGTATTATAATGTCTCTCGGTATATACCCACAGTGAAGATGGGTGGTTGAGTGCTAAGTAGTTTTTCCATGGAAAAGATCAATTATCTCACCTGCGAGCAATTTCAGGAGAGGTTTGAGTCATGGTGGAGTATGGGTTGCTAATGTAGGGGAGGATGGCACGGTAACTGTGGTGAAGGTCTGAATGAGATAGGAATCCAGCTGCCATCACTGTGCCTGGCTCGACACCTAAAGGAGATGTCAGAAACTGCCACATGGACCAAAGCCAGACAAGTACCGCACACATCAGCATGCCGTCATTGCCAGTCTAAGAAACTGACAAAGTATACAGAGACTAGACTAACTATCTGTATATTTACACAGACTGGTCATGAGTAATTTAGACATAAGAAAAGATGGTGTTTTAAGTATTATGACGGTATATACTGCAAAATACCACAATTACAGGTCCCCAGTGGCTCTACTGTGTGCGTATGTATGGTGGCCCCTCTATCTCTGAACAAGGACACAGCTATATAGTACGTTTTTGTCAAAGGTACTGCAACTAGATTCTTGGGGTATAGTGTCGGATAAAACCACACCTCCATTTGTTGCCACGGTGACCGTGTAGTCTCTGTCAGTGACCTCTGCACTTTGACTTCCGAGCTGACTGATTGTGATGTATAGGTCAGAGTTCTCGACCCCTGCAGACAGCTCTCCATCATCAGGGCCTGTTACGATGGGAAAACTGCTTCATTTCCCCCCCTTTTTCAGAACACAGAAACGATAAGTTGTTCACATACACACACAACTACACACAGCACACTTGTTAACTAAAACATAGATACAGAACCTTACGGAGGTTCAATATCAATGACTACGCACTCGTGCTTAGTAGAGCTGGTATAATACAGGCCTGGTAGTACAATTAAACAGCCAAAATCTTTCATAGAGGACAATTTTCGTGGTCCTTGAGCATGTGAGGGTTTTCTACTCATTAACTAGCTAAAAGTCTTTCACTCACGGATGAGTATACTTGGTGCAGTTTGCACCTCCACACAGCGGTGGACAAAGTTGCACAGTTGCAGAGTGTTGTACACCAGTCTCCCTGGCTCCAACACAAACTCTGCTGCACCACCTGTTCCCTCTGACCGAGTTATCAGCTCAGATACACTGGCAAACGCTCCTCCGTTGAGAAAGAGGATGCCCCTATCAATTTCAGCTGTTCTACTATCATTGAAGCTGACTTCTGTTCTTGGCAGCACATCATCTGCCTCTGGCTCAGTCCCTATATACCAGACTGTAGTTGTGAAAGAAAAGATATTACTAGCTTTGAAATGAGCCAAACAGAAGCTGGAAATCTTACTGAGCTCATGTGCAAATGCAAGACTCATATTAGAAGAAACACCAACTGTAGTGTATACATTTTACTTGGAGTATAGTATAAGTAAGGTTACAGGTTTGTTAACAAAGAATGGTGGCGTGTTACTTACAAATATCCTCTACATCCTCTGATACCCCCTCCCATGTTATTGCTGCTCGATATCCCTGTTCTACGACCAGAACTTCTCCAATATCTGCCCCTGCAATCAGTCTCCTAACGAACTCGATCTCCACTGCCTCTTCAAGTGCAGTGGCATTGAGCTCGGTCGCGGAATAAGTCACTCCGTCGCTGGTGGCTGATGCAGTCAACCTTGCCCCATTCGTGGCAACCACAGTCACGTAATAGGTCACGTTGTGCATCAATACCCCGAGGAGGTCCCTGTTAATACCACTGATTGCAGCACCAACCGAAACGAGTGGTTGTACATCAGTAGTGTTTGGAGACGTTCCAATCCCCCATTTGTAGTCGACAATCCCACTCTCGAGGTCTCTAAAGGCCCACCTCACTGATACCGTATCATTGCTAGCTTGGAAGTACGTCGGTCGGACACTCGAATAAGTCACGTCGAAATGATCAACGGGAGAGATAGACTCAGGTGGAGTTGTATCAATTGTCACCCCATTGGAGGTGGTCCTAATGTACCGACCAGATGCAGTGACAGCTTCAACTGTCACGTAATAGATTGAAGGCTGGAAATGGTCCGTGAAGAGAGAGAGGAGGGTGTTGGGGGTGTTGTCGTTTTCAAATTCGAAATCTCCGCTCGAGGCGTCTGATTGGTTGGTGTGGTAACCGGGGGAGAGTGTGAGGTTGGGGAGGGAGAAGGGGAGGGTGTGAGGATCGAGAGAGGTACAGTTGGGGTTGCATCCATAGCTGAAGCAAGGGCCAGGCACGCAGGGTCGACACAGTGTTGATAGCAACTAGAGAGCCAGATAAAAATGAATCTCACACAACACAAACATTTTTCACATGCTCCACAGAACAGATAATATAATATCAACATGCTTGCACGTTTCTTACTTTGCATGCTCCATACAAAATGAACTCCCATAAATGAGGTATGCAAGTATGCTGACACACCCAGGACGTAACCTTTTCCCGAGAACCCAATGAACCCATCTAAGGAGAGTGCTCTACCCACTGAGATACCAGAGTAGCTCAGCAGGCACCAAAACATCCACAGTACAAAGGCTAAGTAAGCCCGTAGCACAAGGTGTACATTGAGGGCAATTACGTGCTGATTAGGGGGTGGATAGTAATTTACCTGCAAGTCTAGAACGTCTGTGAGACCAGGAGACGAGCCAACACCAACTCGAAACTCTACAATGGGCGAAGACGGACTGAAGAATGGGTCACCATAGTCACACCGGTGTCCTCGAACACGAGGTAGAGTCACATTAACAAACACTGCTTCCACTCGGGGTAGACTGAAATCTGGGTCAAATTGAGGGACGAACCCGTCACGGTTGAAAACGTGTAGAGTGAGACTCGTTGTATTTGAGAAGCCGGGGATGGAATGCAGCGTTGTGGTCAACTCATCATCAATGTAAAGATCCACCCAGTGCTCTGTGGCAGTGTCCAGTTGCTCTGACTGGAAGTCGAGTGTGTACTTGTGCACCCGAGAGAGGTCGAATCCAGAAAGTTCGTGAGCTACGTATGAAACTGGTACCAGTGGGTTAGCTGACTTTGTCCATAGTAAAACCTTTTTCTCTACAGTACCACTGTACCCATGGTGGACTTGTAGACCAAATGCAGTGATGTCGGGAAAGCCAGAGTCTCGATTCTCGTACTCAAAGTCTGCAAGAATATCAGGAGATGAGGTTTCGCTGAACACAACAGAAGTGATGGATTGGTCTTGTAGATCCATATCTGTAGTGCTGGAACCGAGGGCAGCTTGTATGTGGAGGTTGACTAGCCCCCCACGTGATAAGTCAACTTCCGTTTGGTAAGTCCCACTCAGTATTGTTACTACTCTGCTGCGCTGAGCGGTAATTGTGAGACCATTTGCAGATATGTTTGTTTGATCTGGACTATAATCGATCTTAGTTGGGTCAATTCCAATGATAGTGGTGGGGCTGAGATGATTCCAGGCAGTGTTTTCTTCCGAGAGTGAGTAAAATGTCGTGTTTGGACAAGGATCGTTTTGGAGCACCATGTCGGTGTACCGAGGTGCCAGTTTGGCATGAGTGAAAACTCCACTGAGCATGCTCAGATCGCTCTGAAACACGACATCATCTTCCCAATCTAGACCGTCTTTGACTGTCCCGGGAACCACATCGGCCCAGTCAACCAGAACGGGCTCTGAGTAAACTCCTTCACTAAGCCCGGCATTATTAGTTGCTCTCACTTCAACCACATAGGCAACACCCCGCTCAAAGTCTGGCTGTTCAAAGACAAAGAATTTCTCTAGTCCAGTGTAAACATAGTCTGTGACTGAGACGGGTGACTCATTAGATCCACACTCTCTTTGAGCAAAGAGTGCAACCTCATAGTATTCAATACTGCTCTCTGGGTCAGTGAAGTCAGTCCACCATATTGACAAGTCTTGCCCTGTCTGCAGTGATATGACATGTTGGGAAGAGGGCGAAAGACCTATTAGGGATTCAGGTGGACTCAGAGTTACTGGTTCAGGTGGTGGAATGGGTGCTGTTAGGTCGACGAGCATTCCTGGAGACATCACGGTCAAACATTTATTGGCTTCATCAGTGGCTCTAATTGTGACAAAGTAGGTTGTATTGTGGGTAAAGTTTTGTGCAGTGAGAAACGACGAAGTGCTCAATCCGACACTAGTAAAACGCAAAACTTCAAAAAAGTCAGCAAATGTTGACAGATATTCAGAGCACATTTCTTGAAGTTGTTCAGAAGTCAAGTAAACCTCGCCAACTGCCCACTCGTACGACCTGATTGGAACATTTGATTCAAACTCGTCCCAGAACACAGAGATCTCGCTAGGGCTGGAAGAGAACGGAGTCAAGAAGATGGCACCTGGAGATATTGTGTGGGTGTGACCAACTCTAATACCATTGGAAGTGGCTTGTACAGTAGCTCCGGATACAGCAGTGGCTCTAACGGTGACAGAATAGAGTGCAGTTTCGGGGACCAGGTCTAGGTATGTGAATGTGTGACTGGTGTTTAAACCGACATTAGTAAACGGGGCAATATCGGTGCGGGTATTGGGATGTCCCATATTGCTTCCCGCTGCAACTTCATAATAAGCTATCTCCTGCTGAGGCGTCCCGTCCCCAAAATCTGCCCAATGTGCTGATAGATAGTCTGCAGGCTCTTGATAGTTCAAATCTTCATTGGGATTTGGGCCATCCCAAACTGTATTCGGGACAAGCTCATCAGTTGTAACTGTCACTCCATTACTCCGAAGTATAAATACTTCGCCAGTGACATCACTAGCCTGGACTAGCACACGATATGTCTCCTCATTATACAGTTGAACCTGGTCGGTAAACAGAGAAAATTGGTTCTTCACTTCTCTTTCATCGTGGGTTGGTATCTCAAGCTCGAGGTAGTCTTTTACAATAGTACCACTGGCGTCTTCAATTGACCATCGTACATGCGATATTGGGCAGTGAGAACCAACGTTAAGATGTGCAGCAATTTCAGTTGTCGATATCTGAAACTCTACATTGGTGTACGGGTCAGTACCGTCCACCAACCAGCTGTCCCATTCGTTGATGTCCGACTTTATGTAAACAGGTGGGCTGCTTAATTTAAATATTTGTCGAGGATTTTCCGACGATCGAGTTTGCACCGTGACATAGACAGGCCTCCGACCAACTGAGAGGGCGTCAAATTGAGTGAGAGTGTGGAAATATGTGTCACTATCGAGAGGAGTGGGAGCGAAGCTGTTGTAAGCTAGATGATCATCGGTGCCAGGATAATACCCAATACCAACTTCAAAACTGGAATTGAAGATACGGATACATTTTAAAATGCTTATTTTTTAGGCTACACAGTCTAAATCTACGCTTCAGAAAGCAGAAGTGACAAAAAAGAGGAAAAAGGGAGCGAGAAAGTTACCTGTCACTGTCAATACTCTGGCTGTCTGGTGGAGTAGTGAACTCAATTGACAGAACATCAGTTTCCAGAACACACACATAGTCTCCAATGCTTGCCAGCAATTCAGGTTCCTCCAACACTCCAGAGCCATTCTCTGTCCTCCCATAGTTTGTCAATACACTCACTACTCCTTCGTACTCCAGAGTGTCAATATTATATAGACCAAATGATGTTTCCACAAGTCTTGCCAGACCAGCTCCATTGGTTGCCTGTAGAGTGGCCTCATACATATAGTTGACATTGAGGTAAAGTGGTGGGGTTTTGACACTGGCTTCTGTACCTACAAAGAAAATAGATAGACGATGTGTTTCACTAGCTTTGTGACTAAAAAGGCAATGAGAGTATAATATACCAGTTGTTGTAGTATTGAAGACAAGGAGATCCTCGTGTAGTATGGTAATGGTGAACTCTGAGATGCCACTGTGAGGATCAGTGATATTGGACCATTGGCACTCCACCACAGAGGGTGTGGAGGAGGGAGAGGAGGGAGGGAGGGGGAGAGGTGGAGGGAAACCAGTGACAGTACACGTCAACTGAGGCGGGCAAAGGAGAGAGAGCGGTGGAGATGGTAAAGAATGGTACAAGGATCCTAATAAAGCGTCGAGGCATGCTAATCAATAAAGTGAGAACATACCTGTCCAAGTGTTGGGGGAGAGGTGTCTAGAGCAACAGCCTTGCCTGAGGCAGTGGTGGGAATCCCGGCTCTGTTGTAACCAGTCACAGTCACATAGTGTGGCAGGCCCTCGACTGACTCAAGGTTCCCACGAATACTGCCGTGTTCTGCGGTGGTTTCGCCAACTACGATGTCAACCCCACCTGGATACGAGCCAATGCGAACCACTGCACTTGTTTTTTGCCCACTTTGAGGATCTGTTAGCTGCCAAAGAGCCGAGAAAACTCGTAGTAGTCTGATATGCCGTGTGGTTGATAGACGATGATGAACCGTAGACTGACTGAGCACGCTCAATGGCGTTTTCACCAGTGCCGATGACCTCAAGGGAGGGGGGTGAGGGGTCGACAATGAAACCATCTGAAGTTGAGACTACGACATCCCCGCAATCAGTAGTGCCTCTGACAGTGGCATAGAGAGGATGTGCTCCATATGAAGCTAGATCAGGTAACAAAGCCTGGATGCAGTATAAAAGAGACACACATCTTGTTAAAGACCCACACTGGAAGCTATGCAATTTCCTGCTAATTAACCTAGTTCCAACAGGTAAGTATTAGCTATATTATACACCCGCTCTGTTTACAAACAAAAACACCATATGGAACTATACACCATGCACATGCAGCATACCTGTGCATAACCTCCCCCAGAAGCTGCATCTACTACCACTATTCCTCTGTCAGTGAACGTCATCAGTGATTCTCGCTGCTCTCCCTCCCATCCTTCCCCCACAGCCCACTGGAAGTGAGATAGTCCACCACACTGAGAGCTCCGGAACCCAGCAAAGTGGACGGTAACAGCAGTTGCCTCGTCCGTGTAATCAACGTCAATCAGAGCAGGGTCTTCCCCATCGTAAACTCTACCAGACACATCACCTGCCACAACCCTGGGGAAAAACAGGAAAAGGTAATTCTTCTACATCCTCAAAGTCTAAAAACAAACACAACAACTACCCTATAAACATCTATTATACCCCTTCAGTGACTAAACTATTTAAAGGAGCACTAATTAGGAATCACCACTCTAGCTCTCGGCCATTCATTCGTGCAGTAAAATAAATGACTTACAAGAACTCTTGGGAGTACACTGTCTCACTCTCTGATCCAGCATTGTTAACAGCAACGACTGCCACGCGATACCGGCCACCCACGGCAAGATCAAGTCCCTCCACAACCCCTCCTGTACTGTACCCTTCGAATACGGCCAGCGTCGGACCAACAGACGAATCGTTTTCGTTCACAATTCCCACAAAAATCTCGGACACTCCGCTTTCGATATCGAGAGCTGACCAGCGAACGCTCAGTCTGCTGTTTCCCACCACGGCCAACCCCAGGGACCCAGTGTCTTGGTTGAAAATCAGCTCTCCTTCTACTTGGACTCTTGCCACTTCTGGTGGAGTTAGATCGACAACTACTCCACTCGACTCGTACTCCGATATGAGTCCAGCTCCGTTTTGTAGGGCTAGGACCACCACGTATTTGGCTCCATGGGCCAGATGCAGGTCACTGAGATTGTATGTATTGATTGCTGGGTCTGGGATCACAACAGTTGATTGCCCGCTGACGAAGGGGTCGGGGAAGATGAGGAGGCGTCGACTCTCGGAGAGTTCCCAGACGGAAATCCCGACGGTGCTTATTTGGGATTCTGAATCACGAGCGTCCCATGAAACGGTCAACTGATCACTCGCAGACTGGTAGACTGAATCTTGACCAGGTGTAGACCCAATGACCAGGTACACCAGGTGAGGCGGAGAAAGATCAATGCTATAAGGGGTTAGAGGACACCCTAGTCTTGAGACCTGCACCGTTTTCAGCCCTGACTTCAACAACGACGGAATCATTGCTGGCAAATGAAAAGTGAGTCCACGTGACTTCACTAACACTGCTAGCAACAGTCTCTGTGTACATCTCTTCATAATCCGACACTGTCGGGCACCCGGAGACTCACAGAGACAGTATACAGACTGATGCCAGAGTCATAGTCGCGGAATCCTTCCCATGAGGCAGATACAGTGGTGATGTCACTGGAATAGGGCAAATCTCTTCTACTGCCTGTCCCAGTGTGGACTGTACCTCCAACTGGTTTTGTCGTATCAACGCGAACTGTAAAACAACAGCATATAGCATATAGCTAGAACTATTATCTAGGGGTACTCTTGTTGCAATAGACTCAATGGCAGCTTAACTGGCCCGTATTTCCTTAAATATTCATGGGTTTAAGTGCACTGCAGTCCAAACAATGGCAATACTTTAACCTTACAGTTGTTGCTCTAACGCATGTGCTCAGTATAATACATAGTTTGAAGGGAAGTAGCAATACCATTGGTAAAGAGTGTGGTAGTGTAGTTGGTGATGGCCCCATTGGTGATGTACAGCGTGGAGTAGTAGGTGGTGTTGTGAAGAAGACTGAGTCCACCGCTGCGGCAGACAGCCCCAGAGCCCAGCAGAGCATCAGTCACATCAGTGGTGGCCACTGTATCACTGCCTCCTGGAGATGTACCTTTTAAAATAGGAAAGAACAACAGCAGGGTAAGGACCAAGTGTACATTTCAATGACACATAGCTATAGACCTTTGAACAAGACAGAGCTGCCATTACAATTCACAGTGTAAAACGCACGATAATGTAGTGCACACCTGCTTCCCAGAGGATCTGGCTGATGCCTGACTCGGGGTCAGCCACCCCTGTGGCGTGGACACACAGCTCATCAGTACCGCTCTGGAATTCAACGTCCCCAGAGTCAATATTGCCTCCATCACCGTACGATCCTACTACAGGTGCGGAGCGATCCACTAGGATAGCAGTCTCTGATACTGCCACTGATGATAGACCAGCTAGTGGCAAATATAAACAAGGCAGTGAGTTTCTTCATACGCTATTATAGAGGCAAATAAGTTAGTGTACTTGTAGCAAGCTTTGTTCAATATTGAGACCAGCTATTATGGTGGTAAACGGAACAAGTTTTTTAACACTACTTCAGTAATTGTGGGTATAGCTACCATTGTTAGTTGCTCTTAGTTTCACCCATGTGTCGACCCCGTCAGGGATGACGACAGTCACAATTCCATTCCCGGCGGTCCCGACTCCAGTCCAGGCAAGCAGCTCAGTGTCGTGCTCTGTACGACCCAGAGACAGACTCACGGAGCGGAGCCCAGACCCTTCATCACTACAGTAATCAGATATTTTTGGTGCATTAATACGTTGCAGAATATTGCAGTATAATATTATAGGGTGTGAAGGTTTTGCCTGCAAAACGAAGTTATTTTTACCTCGCATTGTATGAAAATAGAAGCAGATTGTTTAGCGTGTCATAGTCACTGATTATGACATCATTCAGCTGAGGTGGTGTTGTATCCAGTATGTATGGAGTGGAGTGATGAATCGTAGTAACGAGGGGACCCCCATATTCAACACTGCTGATTGCCTGCGAACCACAAAGAGAGGGATACAGCAAAACTAATTTGCTTGATAGTTTAATTAAGAGAGAATGATGTATAGCTATACCTGGACTGATATATAGTAGCTTCCGTCTGCTAGATCAAGACCAGTAGCAAGCCCAGTGTTAGTCCAGGCACGTTGACCTCCGATAAGGTGCATGTGAGGATCAGTCGGAAGAACGGCATCATCATTACCTAATTCCGACCCTACCCACCATCGATAGGCAAAGATTCCACTCTGCAGATCATCCAGTCCATCCCAGTTAGCTGTGGCACAGAGAGTAAGTAGTGACTGGCTAAAAACTATTGTGAGAGCATTGGGAAACAGTATTCGTAGTTACCCTCGGCGCGCATGCGCAGCGAGGGTACCGTAGTCTGTCTGTCTGTCTGTCTGTCTGTCTGTTACTCTCAATCTCACTTCTCGGGCGTCTGTTCGTCCCAGAAACGATACCATCTACCCAACGGGCGACGAGGGTCAGAAAATATGTGGGGTTTTCTCTGAAAATGATCCGTTGCAGAGCTAGAGCGCTTCCAGCATTGTATGGCCATTTTATCGCTGTCGGATAATGCGCATGCGCTTATATTTAGCACAGGCACACCTACCTCGGGTCCGCTTGCTCTGTCTATCTTGAAGGCACAAGAAGTCACAACGAATGGCGTGTATCGACTCTCGCGTGGTATCTACTACTGTACTAGCCCGTGTCAGACTCTCTGCGAGCTACTTCGCCGAGGGTTTGCACTTTAGTGCTTTTCATTTACACTGTTCCCACTCAAGTAATGGTGGTGGTCTGATGGATAAGCACCCCCTCTCTTGATCGTGAGGTCCCTGGTTCGATCCCGGGAGGTGTGCGCCTTTTTTACAATGATGTAATAGGAGTGTTGGTATATATGGAACGTTTTTTCATCACCTCTCAAGGCCAGCCCGAGTGGCTAGGTGGTTACAGTCGTGGGGACCGACACCATAGGTGCCCGGTTCGAATCCACTAAAATGTTAGATGGTCCAGAGCATTGGCTGGGAACAGCTCTGGTTCCTCTACCCACAAATCTACCACTGACCCACGTTTCTCAAAGGGCAGCGTATAGTTCGGCATTGCACTGCGTCCGTAGACGTCTGTCTGGAGAGATGAAGGGCTGGGCGTTTAAAAAAAGTTTTTTCAACCTTAGGCTTTTTTTTTGCACTAAACAATCCACAGGTAATACGAAAATTAATAGAGAGATGAAAGGTTGGCAATTTTTCAACCTTATATATATTTTTTGCCCTCAAACAGAAATAGGGCTGCCCATTTTTTCATGGAAATAGTGCTGTTCTTTTTGATGCATGGTCAAGACCATCAATTGTGGTTGTGCCACACTTGTGTATGGGTTCCACAGTGTGCCGAGGGTTTGCACTTTAGTGCTTTTCATTGACCTGGTAAAAATACACAGCCCAGGAGGGAAAAGACCACTTTACTGTTGAGAGAAAACTGTTTTATATTTCGCCTATGTTATTGTTCAGTCAAAAAAGAGAGGTCTTTGCTACAAACTAACTGACTGACCAGCGATATAGTTGCTGGTACTTGTGAACATGGCATCCAACAGTGGAGTAAGTCCATTGAACACCACTGAAGATTGAGCGTCATCCACTATCACTCTGTGGGGAGGGTTAAAAAAAAGATCCTCAATACTTGCCAAAGAGAAACGTGACATAGTTTTGTTTGTACATCAGAGTATTATGCATAAGAAAAATGAACCACAGAAGGAATATCACTAACATTCCTTTTCTTTTTATGGCAGATCGTGAAAAAATGAAAAAAGAAAGATGAAAAAATTATCTTTTCTCTACTACCTGTGATTTGCTATAGTTGAGTTGTGAAGGCAATCCAACCCTCCCAGCGCCAGTTCCTGGCATTTTATGGTGTCCAGAGAATCAGAAGTGGCAGACTGGAGGTACCCAGGAGAGGGTGGAGTCAGGTCGACTAGGAAAGGCTCTGAACTGATGGCGCTGGTGTAGCCAAGACCATTCACCAGTCGCATGTTTATGTAGTAGAGGCTGTTAGTTTGCAGAGAAAGATGATCAAACTCCACGACCGTAGAGTTGCCAACACCTGCAATAGAGTTGAGGTGTAGAAACGTGCCCACACATTGAAACACCTACAATTGTGATGATGAAGAGCTAAAAACAGCAGCTAATTGAAGTAATTTGAATCCAGCACAAAGATTATGGTTGGCAGAGCTTACGACAAAACAAAAAGCTATGAAAACTTTAACAGTTTTAGGTTTTAAAAGGTTGCTCAATAAAACTATGGATCAGATGAAAACCTACCAAGTCTTTCATAGTGGCCATAGTCGGAGGTAGTCTGAAGAGGTAGGCTCTGGAATACGTTCTCAACGTGTGGAGAGGGAGTGGTGGGACCTTGTATCCCCGTGTGGAGGATACACGTGGTCTCAATGGCGGAGTAGTCAAATGAACGACAGTCCGGGGACGAGAGGCACTCCCCTGCACACTGTGAGGGTGTGGAGATGTGACGAGTGACTTTGGAGATCTCTGGGAGAAGTCGACCAACCTGCAGCAAAAACCATACAGTTCTCAGTAATGATATGCGATGAAACCTTGGAGATATCGAGTTTTCCCGTATTCAGAGGTAAAATTGGTGGTATGATTTTTGAACTTCGAAAGTATAGCTACCAAACACATTTCTTACTCTCTTGAAACTGAATTGAGTGAGATTTCCATCACTGGTTGGCGGAGTGAAGATTCCAGAGAGGTCAAAGTCCGACCAGTCCATGACGTCACTCCCGTAATCCCCGGGGACCGTTCCTATGGCAACCTGGATGGGCGTGTCCAGCCCAAACTCATCAAAGAGTGTAAAAAGAGCGGAGATCTTGCTGGGGTGGCTGGAGTGGAGTCTGATTGGGTTAATCCTGGCCAGAGGTGGAGACCTATCGTACGATGGTAGACTACACATTGCAAATGATTCATCTCCATTGAGATTAGTAGCAACAACTGTGACATGTATCGGGCTGGCTGGAACCAGTCGGTGAGGTACCACAATCCTCCTCCCGGAAATCTCAGATATTTCGATGATGTCGTTGGTCCTGGGGGCTGTCCCCAGTTGATAAGACGTGGTGATGAATCCCTGTGGTTCCGTCACCGTGAATTCAATCTCAAAGAGGGGATTTTGGAAATCTCCGACTGGTAGCTGACGAACATAGCAGTCAGAGTCAGAATAAGGGAGTGGAGTGAAGTTTGGTGGAGACTCATCAACGAGGGAACCCTTGTAATAAAACTCGTCTCGGTTGAATGAAGGAATGCTGTAGTACCAGAGAGTGTCTGTTTGGAGTATCTCCTCCGTGGCAAATTCCCCTGCCCCTGTCATTTGAGCCAATTGGGCAGTGAGGGAGAGAGAGGTGGGAGAGAGGACCAAGTCCATCTGGGAACTGCAGAAGACAAACCAACAGTGTTTATAATTCTGAACTCATTTAATTGGGGATGTTTCCTTGATCCCTTAGCTACTGTAAGTCAAATCTCTTAGAGTGCACAACCGGTATATAAAATTTCTCAAGTTTCTGTGATTTCGCAGTGAGTGACCTTCAAGGGAGCTGGCATAGAACATGCAAAAACAGTTGCCCTCAAAGCAATAGTTATTGCATCACTGACCTTGCAGTGAGTGGCCACGTCTGAAAGTCTTGCCATAGGTTCAGTGGCAGAGAAGCTTCCAGAACACTGCCATCGAGACTGACTGTGGCATACTGTAGCCCCGAGGTCCTCACGAAACCGTGGGCCCGAGACGCGAGAGACGGTGTGATGGAGACCGTCGCCTGGTTAGACAGCAGGGAGAAATCCAGAGAATAGTCCAGTTGATAGTCACCTACTGCTCTGAAATCTGGAGCAACGCAAGAACTCTGAACACTGCCAATGAAGTGCTTATTATAATAATATGTAACTGAATATTTTTTGGCAGAATAATACATTACACAGATAAACAAAGAAAAAGAATAAAGGACGAGATCTTATACTTCTATTAAGTAAGACAAGAGCATAAGCTACATAGGTTTGGCTGAACTACACATTACTCTCATCAAAGGTATCAACATGCGCCAAGTTTAGGTATTTATAGCTAATCAGCTTACCAAACTGCACGGGGATGGGTCCGACCATGATAAAAGTACTGGAAGCCAACAGTTCCACTGATGCCCCAGAGAGTATAGTTCCCTGGGCATGGAGGGTGTGTTCCACCGGTCTCTGAAACTCATGTTCAGGTATCGTATCCTCTACCAAAACCTCCCCATACTCCACCACTAGCGGCGAGGTAGGAGAGATACTGTGTCTGTCCACCACACTACCACCGATATAGGTGACCAGGTCGTTACACTCGTAGCTCAGAGCCACCGACGGTCTCGGTATAGGCTGGAGAAACTGTGTGGGATCTAGCGCGTGCGTCTCATTTCCAATCTTCTTGTGAGTTTCAAGGTGAATATAGTACTCATCATCCGTATTGCTCGGTGGGGGTTCCGCAGTCAATATTCCCAGGGGGTCGCCCCCTCTGATGAAAATTGGGGTCTCGGTGAGGGTAATTGTGGGTTGAATGTGGTGGAGAGTAAAGGAGAGGTCGTGGTAAGAGGTCTCCGCGGGGGAAAGATTGATGACTGATGAAGATGACGATGAAAGACTGTAGTAGCCGGAGAGTGGCGCCACAACCTGCACAGAGGAAACATACATCTTGAACACGGCAAGTTTGACCAATTGCTGCTGCATTTGATATAAAGTACTTTTCACAATGAGAATCAAAAACATGAAGAGTAGGGTGCTTGCATGGTACGGATTGTGAGAGAAAAAACATACTGAGCTACCTGTAGACTGGCGTCTGTTTACCTGTTCTCCGTCACTAGTCACCAAGGCAACACCTTCCCCGTAGTCACCCTCGGAAGTGGTCGGGTAACTGCCACACCCCCTCACGTGATCACATGACCTCCGTTGCCGTGGAAACTGGGGATGGAATTTCTGGCCCAGTATGGCATCGACCCTACTCCGAGCAGTGTCATACCTAATATACAACAAATATTCAACGTTTTAAATCTCCTCTCTGAGAGGTCACATACGAGAGAGTAAAGGTCGAAAAAGCCTGTCTGCTTTCGTCTAGCAGTGCAGATAGGTCCGAGGACTGAGCGATGACATCATTGACCACACCCACAAAGGAGTTCATCATCTCTTGGAGGTCGAAGTTAACCAAATCATACAACTCGTTTAGTTCGTCAAGTTGGGGGCCATGGGAACCCTGTATAAATTACTTACAATTTTTAAGAGGTGGTGATATCCACATACCTCTTGCGGAATTTCATTAATGGCTTTGATGATGTCATTTGTAAGTGTGGCGAGGTTGTCTGATAAATCTCTAATTGAAGGTGCGAGCCAGTGATGGTTAGGACCTAGCAGGAAATTAAATGATACAAAATACGAGATACAAATTGACATTCACACCATTTGGACTTGTTAGGTCGACCACTGCCTTCGTAGCAACTTCCAATTCCGCATAAGCTTCATGTGCACTGGAGAAAAATAACAGTAGAAACTCTAATCCATGCATCAATGTGACACAATTATTTCACATGCAAGATATAATTATTATCTTGGGAAAGGTAGAGAGGGTATATATAGTCTTACCTCAGGTAGACATCGAATATGTTGACTAGTGCCTTCTGAGGGGCAAAGGGAAGGTAGGGGACGTGGAAAGAGTGAGTGATGAAAGGCTGTCCGTCCACCAATAGTGCATGACTCAGTCTCTGAGAGGTGGATGGCAGAGCATCAGCCGCAGCACCCACAATATCCTGCCAAAAGAGAACAGCGTGTGATGTGCATCAAACTAGTATTTGACTATCTTTTGTTTGTGAACAGTACATTATGCTATCACGTGAGTTTTGAAGTGTAAGCTAGTTTTCCTAAGCGGGTAAGAAATGCAGACAATTTTTAGAGCATAAGTAATTCAACTTGTGTCTTACATCTCTAGCAGCGACTGCTGAGTCTCTGCTGGTGGCAATGGTAGCTGAGAGTGTAGAGAGGAGGTCCCTTGCCACAGTCTTCAGGTGGAAGTCACCAGCTATTGCTTCCAACTGGGACACTGCAATGTCAGACTGGGAGACCAGATCCTCGAAATGGACGTTTATCAGGTCGTCCAGCTCGGCGATCAAGACATCTCGTTTCCCGTCGTAAGCCGAATTTGACGACAAAATCTGGTCATATGCAGCCTCAAATGCTTCCACTAGTCCAGTTGACTCCTCCATATACAACTCATACTGTCTATAGATCCTCTCCGGGGTCGAACCCTGCAATTAACAGTCCATTAAACAACACACGAGACGTATAAGAGAATGGTGAGTACAGTGATGATGTTGACAGTGTCGTAAGTGGCCGTTCCCTCGAGGCAGAGCTGGGTTCTCATCATCTCAAAATCAGAGTCTTGGTTTGCACTGGACAAGGCCAGATGTGAGGAGACAACAGTCTCGTCGTGAAGGGAAAAGTGGTACTTTGACGATTGATCAGCTGCAAAAGAACGAAATATCAATGACTACAGCAGTATATACTTAATACAGTGGGCATTGTCATTATACCTATACAATAAGTTTCAAAAACAGAGGGGTTCGAGTACTTACAGGTGTCAAGAATAAAAGAGTTTGCGAGGGTTCTGCGGAGATCAACACTTATGTTCCTGTCACCAAACTGCCGATTCCACCCCACAGTTGGCATGGTAACGTTCATCATTACATCACCATCATATCCAGATTCTCTCCTTTCACGAGAATTGGCCTCGTCACTATGACAAACACAAGAAAAAGACATAAGATTATTTGGACTTTAGATAGTGTATATACCTGTGTGGTTCCATGAGGTCAGAAAGATCTCTTTTCCTACGCGAGTGGGTTTCATAGACTGAGCGAGCTGCTCGCACAAGTGAAGAATGGTGAGCTCCACTATTGCCACTAATTGTAGGGTCAGCGATGGATAGGAGAACCTCTGCACTCTGTGGGAGAAATGTTCGTGTTTTTCTAAATTTTGTGGATCGTGTGATTGATAAGGACATTATGTGTTACTGTCTGCATAAAAGATAAATAGTATTATATTGTTTGCCTTACATCGTCTGTGTCATAGACTCCCATTGATCTAACGCTGCATGCTGCACTGATAGAGACCCAAATATGGTGTGGTGTTGGAGTGTGGGGAACGATTCCTCTGCCCCTGCGTTAGCGAGGCAATCTAGCAGTAGAGCATGTAGGGAGGAGTAGGGGAGTGAGGATGGGAGAGAGGGGATCGCAGAACGTCTGTGCTTGTGAAGAGTGAGAGGCATAGGGTAGCCTGTTGAAAGAACAGCGGATAATTTCCGACGATCGTTTATACAATTTCTCGGTACCGGTATGTGCCTCAAGGAGATGGTGAAGATCGGACACAATCTGAGTAGCGAGGTCCGGATTAGAGGGTCTTACTCTCTTAGCCATGGCCCCCAGAGCCAGCAGAGCCTTTGGTGATAGGCTGACATCATCATGATCCCTCACCAGAGACCACACCCTCTCAACAACATCACTGTGTTAGCAAAACAAATTCACTCTTATGTATTAAACGTAAATTTTGGTACAACTGCACATTTCAAACACGTTTTCTAAGAAATAGGGCAAAATGTTGTTGTTGGAAGATATCTTGTTGGTTCTACTATAGACAAGTGTATAAAAAGTCCATTTAAAACATAGAACATCCAGTGTTCAATTACTTGTCAACTGGAAGAGATGTTGTGAGGTAGAAGAGCAGTTTTGAGACTATTTGTTGTTGTGGGAGGGTGTGAGGGGGAGGGGGGAGGAGGAGAGTGGTGAGGGTGTGGGTGGTGAGGAGTGAGGGGGAAGAGGTGGAGACAGCAGTCAGCAGCAACAGGGCTTGAGGGAGAGAGAACGCGTCCGAACCCTCCTGTACATAGGGAGAGAATGAGGATATTTTCCATTGACACAGTCACCAGTTTTATCGGGTAAAAGGATTGCTGTGTGGTAGAATTTACTAAAAAAGACACCTCAGTTAGCAGGAAGTAATATAATGCACTGAATTAGCATGGGGTACTAAGTGTCTGAGTCAGAGGGCTATATAGCTAGCTTATTCAGAGGTTCCACTCTACTGACATCCATATACTCCAGGATTAAGGTTGAAATGTCATCATCAGAGAGATGACGAATACTTTCTTCAATTCGATTGGCACAGTCATCGTCAAAAGGGGCACAGCTTAGCCCTGGCAACACTGCTTCAAGAGAAGTGTGCTCCTTCGTCTGTTAGTAACAGTAAAAAATTTGAAGTTAAGGTCTAGGATAAAAGGTAGCTCTTAGCTACATACCAATGATGTAATGGTGAGGTCGTCGTGAGTGAGACTATTGGGTCTGTCACAATTGGGTGCGGGAGATGAGTGGTCTGGGAGAAGTCTGAGCTCTGAGCTCGACCCTACCTCTTGGCCTAGCACTGTGTGAGATCAAACAAGAGATTAACAAGAACTTAGTTTGGTTTTATGATATATAGCTCTGTGGTTTGGACTCTGTCGGTAAAGAGATTGGGAAACACTTTAGAGTGAAACCAAGCATTCAGATATATACACTTCCTAGGAAAAAACTGATCTCCCCTACCCCTTATGTTGTCGGTATCAGTTTACCTGTTCCGCCGATTCCTGAGAGAGAAGCTTTAGTCACGACTCCACTCTCTCTGTCAATGGCAGTGGTTTTTCTGGTTAACCCACCAACACCTTGCCCCTCAACTTCCTGGACTAGCACTAGACTAGACCCAGCTTCAGTCCAGCTGCTGGAGCTGACATCGATTGAAAAAAGTCCTGCAAGCGATTTCTTGAAGGCCAGGACCTCAAGATGCTCATTAGGTGGGTAGAGTACACCAGACACACTCCCATCCTCCTCTCTAACTGCAGAGAACCTTTCAAAAAATAAACGTTTTATTGCTGAATCTTTGAACATAGTTCAGAAATTGATTACCAGTTAGTAAGGTCTCCTATAGGATTTTCATCAACTGTTGACTCTGCAATGACAAAGTAACTATAAACTACTGCACATGTCATCTTACTGTGTCTATGCACCATCATTAGCTGTTGTCCATGTCAGCTGTGCTCCAGTCACATTGATATGGAGCTCTTGGCTTGCAAGCCCTTCTCCGTTACACACACTAACCGCTACCTGAAGACAGATGTAAGACAATATTCATTTCCTTCATGAATCATATTCATAGGCGGCACTGCCGTATTTTACACCCATGTGTTTGTTGTCTCCCAGCAACATAGCAGTAAACAACTTTTTATTTTCCATCACTATCTTACTAAGCCGCCATGATATTACACCAAAGGCGTATAGGCCTGTGCCCTAGGGATATCCCTTTTTAGTGCACTCCACAAGTAATCCAAATGCAGTTTTTTTATCAGTTGGCTGTGGACTCACATCGGCGGAGAGGTTGGCGCGGATTCCGCGGGAGATGCTGGCCGTACTGCTGTAAGAGTAGATCAGCCGCTGGGCAGGGCGCTCGCCGGAGAAGAGATCTTGAAGTGGTGGCGTCGCGCGCTGCGGGGAGACAGCTCCCAGAAACACGGCGGCCCAAAACAAGAAGAAAACCATCGCCAAGTCCCGCCTCTCTTTCGTCCTTGCTAGAGAGCTAGAGAGCGGCTACGCTAACCAGCCCCGCCCCTTAATGGGTCTCGTGTGTACACCCACGCAATCACAACGCGCGGGGTATGACGATGTGTGATGCAAAGTGACGACAGTTGCTATAATAGCTGCATTCGTGTACTATATATTTCGTAACTGACAATGCTAAGGCGTGCCAGCAGTAGCTAGTATAGATAATATTGACGCAAGGTAAAACTCTCGCAGCACATTGACAACAGCTGGGAAAGCGCCAAATATTGCATGATAGCTTCCCGGAGAAGTGACATAACTGTGGTTACTACTTCTCTTGAGCTTCTGAAATTACATTCCTCTGTACATAGCAACAGGCCAGCCAGCTGCATTGCCCAACTCTCTAGCTCTGATGTCACGTCTTGTCGCCACACGTCTTGTCGTCGCGGTGTCGCTGCGCGTCGCTCACGTGATCTTCGCACCTACTAAACTCCGCGATCTCCGCGCAGAACCATGCAGTGTAGTGCATCGTCTCTCCTTCGCACTCCCTCTGCAAGAATCACGTGCTGAGATAGCTATACAAGCGGACGAAGAGGATATTCCGCAGGAGCAACATCTTGCAAGTGGACCTTCGTCGCATATATATATAGCGCTGCGCGGCCAACTGCACGCGTCGGACCTCCGCGAATGATGGCTGGCTCGGTTGAGGTTACGCTCACTGCGCTGGCAGTGATGCTACTGGCAATGTTTACCGGAGGTGAGCTACAATTTTTACATACGCAGATATGTGCATAAGGTTGGTTTCTGTATGTGTTGATGAGCGCTGCTGATCCTGCCATTAGCTATGTATATACACACAATTTCAACATTATTCTTGAGAGAAACTTCCATTATGAGATAGTGAAAGGCTGCATTTACTCTAATCGCTGCAGTCATAATACATAATAATATTATACCCTGAGGCCATGTTGATGCCCAGAGCAATCACAATGAATGAATGCACGTTCCAGGGAAGGTGAGGGGTGGGGAAGGGTGGGGCCGGGACTAGTGTGTGTATGTGTGTTTTAGGACCGAAGTGTGTGTTTTGACTGCACAAAATGTACGCTGCTGCCTTCCAGCAAATACCGACATTTAAACCGTGGTAACCCTGTCCCCAGCCAATAGCACTATGCCAAGAGGTCTATAAGGGTTGGATCTTTACGCAGTTCCTGTGGTTTGGCGTTCAGGGCAGTTGGAAGAGAACTTATTAGATAACTGTAGGTTTGGTGTCGTTAATAACAGAAAGTTGGGAACCCAGTGGCCAAGTGACCTGGATCAGAGTGTATACAGACCATGTGGTGTATGCCAACATAGTGTTCACTGGAGAATTCTTATTTCCCTCTCACACCACTCTGTGGCTAAGCGGTTTTTGCTCTGAAGGGCCTCCACATGTTGATTCCACTCGCCACTTACCACGCAGAGACCAGATTGGGTTACCAATCTTTGTATATGGTGGTCAACTACTTGCCTCTGTTTAGCACACAAAAATGCCTGCTTTGGGTTCTGTATACTACAGAGTGTGGCGATTCACACATGGGGGCCCTTCATGTGTGGTCAGGTCAAGGAGGTTAGTGGTATTCTTCCAGATGGCCACATCTACTCCTGGCAAACTTCCAGGCAGAGGTTTCTCAATGTAGGTGGGCAGTGAGGAATGAATCTCCAGGGTTTTGCTTCACCATCTGCTTGCTGTGCCCATAGGCAAAGTCATACTAGCAACAGCAACTGCGAAAATGTATCCCATGTTACAGTCTAGTGCCCTAGGTTTTGTGCATCTTTTTGCTCAAAACATTTGCACCTGGAAAGATAACCTGTGTGTCTTCAACAGAGCACATTAATCAAACATTTGCACACCTTTACACATTACAAGCCAAACTAGTGTTTGTCTTTATGGATAATATTGGGAGATTGCATACTTACAAAATGTGTCCACACCCCATAGCACCTGTTGTTATAGTTATATTCTCTCTTCTTTACAGGGCAAGCACAGTGCTACACAGGGAGTGCTGTTTGCTCTGGTGCAAGCACCGCTTTGACTACAGCCGAGGAGTGCTGCCTTGGTGACGGGCAGTCTTACAACGAAGGCTCTACGTGTGAAATCTGCTACGGTACAATGCAATATATACGAGGATTCTTTTATTAATTATTGAGAGTATCTGTGCATTATACAGTTATCCGATACCAGTCGACAAGCCTCACCCTCAGCGAAGGAGACCAATCAACGCTTACTGTCGAAGTTTTCAAACCTCCTGCGGGAACGGGGTCGGGTAATGTCGCTTTCACCATCATGAACGAGGACAACAGTGGTAAGTTGTAAGCAATCCTGTACATTGGTAGTAAGACACTCATGAAAATCTGCAAGATATTATGTTTGTAGGGCAAACACCTAAGATAGACGTATGCACACTAACATCATATTTGGCGGAGCAGTAGAAAATCTCAGTAGAGCAGCAAAGCGCCTACATTATACAGTGCTGTTACCAGCATGATTTTGTGTGTGCGTTGTTTTACAGCTGATGTACGAGTTGGTGGAGCAGACAATCCAACTGGGACTTTGCTGTTCAATTTCTTTGGTCGGGACAGGGGCTTCACCATACGGGCCGAGGCTGACCAAATCGGACAAGAAGGGACTGAGACGATTACAATTCCCCTTGTCGTGACGTCCACAAGCCCCACAGTATTTGTCGGCCCTCCAGCTACTGTTACAGTTATTGATCAGAGTGGTAAGTTATCACTACAGTCCACTTGCTACTTTAATGGTGGTGGTAAATGGCAGAAAATAGAATTGACTGCGTGATGTTGTGCTCCCTCTCTCTCTCCAGTTGTGTTGGTGGAGCTGACAGAAGCAGACTACCAGCAGAGAGAGGGTCAGGGGAACAATGTGATAACAGCACGGGTGCTGTACAACCGGGAGATTGCCAATCCCATCACCGTCACGTTTTTCCCCGTCACCTACGACCGCTACCTGAACGGGCTTAACCTCGATCTCCCAAGTTCATTCCCAGGGAGGGAAGTTGAGGCAGACGGTGAGCTAGTAGTTCAACTAGTCCACATTGAGGAGAGCTGTTCCTATTTCATATCATCGTAAAACCACGTGCACCAATAGCTGCCATGTATCTAAAACACACACAACAGGATAAGTTTGATATTCAATATCGACACTTCAGTTGATATAAACAAGTGGTATAACTTATTGCTATATCCCGATGATACTCATTTACACAGATGATGACTTTAATGGTAGTCCTATCACAATTACTCTGCCAAATCCTGCCGGTGGAACCGTTCGTCAAGTGGAACTTCAAATCCCCATCAATGACGACATGATAAATGAACACCAGGAGACACTGGTGGGATTCATTGAAATTGCCAATGCAGTTGATGAGGGTACCATCCAACTCGGACGTACCGCCGCACAACTCATTATTGACGACAACGATGGTAACTTTTGTGCACTTCCGATATTTTTGTTGTGCCATATTTGAACCCAGCGCATGTGGCGTTCAACTGAGAAGGCTTGTAAATTCAATGAAATTCATTTATTTACAGTACAGGTTCCAACTTAACAGACCCATACCTACACATTAGTCAAATATACCTACATATTTTGGACAATTGCCGATTCAAAAATACGTGATTTTTGCCCACATAATCACATTTCCATTAAACGTCTGTTTCATTTTTTGCCCAGATATCACAATTGGATTTACCGAGGAGTCTTACACATTTACCGAGGGTCAGAGTGGGGCATTTGTGACACTGGCCAAAGATGCAGGGAGAATATCCCAGAGAACCGATATTGCAGCCATGATCTCCCTCGGACCCAGCCCCTCGGCAACCCCAGACAGCGACTTTTCCATCACTCTCCTGGGCTCGGACATCGATTTCAACCCAAGCGACCAGAGCATTAACATTCCTCTGAGTATTCTGGAAGACAGCCTCCCCGAGGGGGTGGAGTCGTTCACTCTCAGCGTGGTGAGTGCAGGCAATTTCCCGTTCGGTGCCGCACGGACAGACACCTCCCCAACGACACAAGTCATCATTACAGACAATGATGGTACGTTTTGATCTTGTATACAAAACTAGTGAAGTCGATCTTAATGGTTGTAGCACCTTTTTTTATAAATGTTACTAAAGATAGAACTAAACAATAAGGCCCAGTGCAAGAATGGAATTAAGTTTCCATTTTCAGTATATAACAGTTTCTAAATTTAGCCCTTGTATACTGCCACATTCTTTCCCCTCACAGATGTGGTAGTGGGATTTGAGCAGACCATATACACTGTTCCTGAGAGTGCAGGGTCTATTGAGGTGTGTGCAGTTGTTACGAACCCACCAATGGATCAGCCCCTATCATCATCGTTCACCCTCCTCGCCGACACACTTTCTGCCTCTGCTGGTAAACCTTCTACGGTATCATAATATAACCAACAGGTCTCAAATGACCATTTGAAAAAAGTATAAAAAGCTCCACATACAAACACAATCTTAGGTCTGTGGTTGCATAGTCACGGTCAAAAAAACTTTGTTCCCTCTTTTGGCATCACCTTTTTCCAATATCCAGACTCACTGTTCCCTCTCTACTTGCAGTTGGTGGATCTGACTATACAGACTTTAGCACCGTGCTTCCTGTTTTTAACAACAACAACAGACGGAGGTGTTTCGACATCGCTATTCTGGAAGACGACCTCCTGGAGGCCAGTGAAATGTTTCGAGCTTTCCTAACCCTGGTCAGCGGGAGTGGTGTAAATGTCGATCCTGCTGAGGCGACTATCACCATCACTGATGTGGACCGTAAGTGTATTATTGTACCATCAATCCCACCCCCATAGAAACAAGGGAGTAAACAGTTGAGTAAGCATACAACTTGTAGTCCAGTTTTCCCATACTATGCTAGGCTAGTAAAACTAAAATCGAGGTCACGGAATTGTAATGTAGGAGTACTGCTTGCATCTTAACTTAACATATAGAGTGTACAGTTTTCTGTCTTAGGGAATTTTATATACACCCTCTCTGGTTGTGGTGGTTTGCATTTTGTAGAAGATTCATCTTTTGTTTGATGATGCAGGACATTAAATGTGACTCATACTGTCCATTTTTCTCTCCAGCTCTGACTATTGGTCTGCAGCAGACAATGTACACAGTTAACGAAGGGGACCCCCTCGTTAGTGTGTGTGCCGAGGTGACGAGTGGAGCAGTTGGACGGGAAACTATAGCCTCTCTGGCGTCACAACAGAACACTGCCACACGTGAGCCAAACTACTCTGCCAACGCATGAGAATTGAGAAGAAGTCAGTGCCAGACCCACTTTCATGATTATGCAATCATTCGTAATCGATGAACAAATCTGAGCTGTATTGTAGACAATGATGAATCAGTGCGACCAATAAATCGCTCAATATTCACCATATCCTTTTTTCTCCTGTACAAGACTTGGGTGCTTAACTCCCAGTTTAAGAGGCCCGACTTTTATCTCAGACAAAATCTGTTTTTGTTTTTTACTCACTGCCCCCTGTCATTAGCAACAATCAACTATACTTATTCAACTATTGTTTCTTTCTCTTTCATCCAGCTCCTAGTGATTATGCGGAGGCCACTGCGATACTGACCTTTAATCCTGGTGAAACAGTAGTGTGTAGCCCGTTTCTGATCAACGACGACCAAATTCTCGAGGACCTGGAGGACTTTAGAGTTGTATTGTCGACAAACGATCCTCGTGTGACTGTCGACCCTTCAGAGGGCACCGTTACTATAGTGGATGATGATGGTGAGTAAATATTATGAGTACACCCTGTACTTTTATAGTCTATGGTTCCCCCATTAATTCATATGACGTTGTGTTGTTCCTCCAATAGATATTATTTACTATTACTACAACTATTAATAGATTATGACGTTGTGTTGTTCCTCCAATAGATATCATGGCCACTATTGGGTTCAGGGAGCCATCCTACACAGTGGTGGAGGGAGAGGGGAGTGTGACTGTGGAGGTGGAGCTTCGCTCTGGCACCATTCCACCCGGCAACGAGGTGGTCGTCACTTTCTCCACTGCTAACCAGGGCGCAGTAGGTATGCTTCATCCACAAAAGACGAGACAATAGAACTACAATATTGGATGTGGTGGGAGAAAAGTGTGCAAGGAAGTGCTCATAAGAACCCTTATTTTTCTTCATCAAGAGAGCGTTTAACTTCAGTGGATGTTTGTGGTTATTTCCCCTGCAGCTCCTGGTGACTACACTTCACGCCAGATGCCACTGACATTCTCGTCGACAAGTACCAGGATCCCAGTCACCATTCCCATCATTGACGACAGCGATATCGAAGACATTGAGAGGTTTCTGGCCAATCTTCAAATCGACGCCAACGACTTCCCCGACATTACGGTGGAGCCTGAACAAGCCACCATCGACATCATCAGCAATGATGGTGGGTTTTAACTATTGGCACTGGGATGCGGAAATGACACCGCGAGTACTTGTATTACATAATTTGTCCTAGCTAAACTTTTAAAAGTAGCTTCTAGGATCAATAATTTCTGTAGGCATGTTTTTCAACCTGCAGTCTCACACAACTGATGTGCCTCTCTCTCTCTATTGCTTGCAGTGAGAATTGGGTTCACTCAGACGGAAAACACAGTGTCAGAGGCTGATACGGGAGTGGCACTAACTCTGAGGGTACTGGAAGGAACTATTTCCCCCCAGCTGGGCAATATCCCCGTGACTGTCTCCACTGCTGATGTCACTGCCACTGGTCAGCTATAAAATTATACCATCACCTCTTTCTGTTAAAACTGTTGCCAACATGGTTTCATCTTTCCTTTCCTGTTTTACTTTTTATGCAAGTTTACAACAAATCTTCCCAATCAGTTCTCCTTTCAGCCCTCCTCTCCTTCTCAGTACATTATGTAATCTGATTAGACCATGCACAATAGAGTATGATTATTTCTATTAAATATTATTATTACCACTTTCAGATGGGGCAGATTACTTTGGATTCTCAAGGCAGACCTTCACGTTCAACTCGGGCCAAATGGAGCAGACTTTCAGCATCCCCCTGGTGGACGACCGAGATATAGAGCCGACGGAGCAGTTTGCTGCCATTGCAACGAGCACAGTTGGTGGGGTGACCATCAGTCCAGACAGAGCCATAGTCAACATCCAAGACAACGATGGTTCGTGCGAGGAAGCTTTTGTGATATATACACTCATTGATCACACACCCAGAACACTTGTGGAAGATTCAGACACCCAAATAAGAGACAGTTATTATTTGTTACAGGCCACCAAACTTACCAACCCTTCTAACAACACCCCTCAGTTTCCTAGGCACAATCTATTATTATAGACTAGAATTGTCAAACTCTAGCATTATTAGCTACCATAGCTTAGCCTTCCATATTTGGAAGAACTCCATACATACATGGTTAGTCCACTCCAGTATCAGAAAAATTGTCGTCATTATTTTAAATTTGCCTGTGTATCAACTATGCAGTGGTGATTGGGTTCAGCCAGACTGCATTGACTGTTGATGAAGATGCCGGGACAGTTGAACTGTTTGTGACAGTGATGGACGGAGCAATCCCTCCTGGTCAGAACAGAGTTGTCATGCTGTCTACCAGTGATGGCACTGCTACAGGTATTCACGTTTAGCTACTGTACTAAAGCATTAGCTATACACATTTAGAGTATCTCTTGCACCATACTTGATGCCGTGTATATACTGAATGGCCTATATAAGCATTATTGTGAGGGCTGTAAGTATAAATGTTACTCAGTGCTAGAATTACTTTAACAAAACAGTCCAACTTTCTCCACAGCTTCTGATGACTATATCGGTGTTTCCAACCGACTGTTGACATTCTCGAGCAGTCAGCCCACAGATTCGGTCACCATCACCATCAACGATGACACGGAGGTCGAGGATGCCTTGGAGAGGTTCACGGCCAGTCTGACAATCGACAGTGGCCTCAATCTTGTAGTCACCCTCCTGCCTAATACCGCCACTGTCACCATTGATGACAATGATGGTGAGCGGTGAATTTCCTTGATGTCTCCCTTTTTCCTCCAAAATCTTAGCACCAAGTTTTTAAAAGAGAGGGTATATATACCTGAGAGTAGATTTTGTGCCCTGCTAAGCAAGCTGCCCTGGTAGTTTAGTGGGTAGAGCTCAGCTGCAGATTATCATGGGTTCGAGTCCCACGCCTAGCAACTCTTTTTTCTTGCCTAGGGTGTTGTTGAATTACCTTGACTCAAATCGTGATTCAGAACTCATGCCTTTATTTGGCTCTATAATCTCTCTTTCCTCTCCTATCCATAGTTGTGATTGGATTTGTGGATCCAACGACAACAGTCACAGAGTCTGGCGAGGCGACGCTGTTTGTGACAATCATGGACGGGACCATACCTTCAGGAGAACAGTACATTGTCACCCTCACTACCGCTGATGACACCGCCAACAGTAAGACTTCACACAAGTACTCTAGCAGGAAATCTGGAAAATAATTATCATTAAAGAACGGTCTGCACCTAGTAATAGAGAGTTTAGTAAGGACACCGCTAAAATCTAAAACGAAATTTCAGGCAGAACGGTGCATAATGGTGCCTTGATAAATCTACACCTACAAAACGTGCTCCACACTCAGTACGCTTGTTTACACCAGTAGACTATCTATTACTTTGATGCAGCAGATAGTTAACTGTTATGGATCTGAAATTTACTGTTGTTTTGAACCAGAAATGTGGCTCTCCTTTTTATAAAGATTACTTTTGCTTGCCAGAAGTATTTCACAGAGCCAGCATATGGCACAGCGTCATGCTGTTTACACACACTCGTGGTACCAGTGCCAGAGTGATGAAATAGTAACTGCCGTGCCTTTGGCTCCCTATCTCTTTGCGACTTTTAGACTGACATAAGGATAAGAGCCTTAATGCAGAGTGCAACGGCTTGTTGTCAATTATAGGCAAGATAGAGACAGCTATTCTGGAGTTTGCACAAGGAAGTAGTGGCAAATAGCTCTCTCTGTATCTCTCTCTCTCTCACTGTATCTTCCCCCGGTTCACCTCTCCATTTCGCCAATCATTCATTACCCAGGGAATGACGACTATGAGCCAACAACAGAGACGCTGACCTTCACCTCCTCCACACGGTTAGTTCAGGTCACCGTCCCCATCATTGACGACGACGACGTGGAAGGAACAGAGATGTTCAGATCTAGTCTGAGAGTTGACACCAGTCGATTCCCAGTCACTCTGTCTCCCGACACCTCGGACATTATCATCCTCGACAACGATGGTATGATTATACATTACTACGGCTGTCTGTAATATAGCTACATGAAGACCAATGTCAGCAACATAGTGCCCTGGGTGATTACATACTTTGTTGCTCCTTTTTCTGTTGTGAAAATGAAACTATTTTATTGAAGGGTGCATATTAGAGTGCTTGAATTCTACACTAGTTGGTATATATATATATATCAAGTGGTTCATTTTCTCCCCATACAGTTGTGATAGGGCTGGATATGACTGCGTACACTACTGAGGAAGGGACTGCAGTTGCCCTAGTGGCCAGAGTGCTAGATGGTGTCATCACACAAAACACCATTGTCTTCCTCACTACCAGTGACGGAACTGCTACTAGTAAGAATCATGGCATGCGGTCGGTGGAGCTCTTAACCCCTCTTCAAACATTACATATCACGTTGTCTAATACCTTCATGTCAAGGAAATGCCACACTTTACCCCTGAACTAAGGACACGTCACTATTAAGGATGCTCTCTTCTTTCTCGTTCGTGTCCAGATTAGAGGGGCTCCACCACTGTTAACAAATAGAATGACATCTATGTAGAGCCCATAGAGATCCATACTAACTGCACTCTCTCTCTCTCTGTGTTTTCCTCCACAGGTCCTGATGACTACGAAGGCCTCAACCGTATTCCGTTAACGTTCCCCCCTGGCGCCGTGTCTCGCTCCGTCACCCTGCGTACAGTGGAGGACAACGATGTGGAGGATCGGGAGACACTGACGGCTAGTCTGACAGTGGACAACGATGTGTACCCTGGAGTCTCACTAAGACCAGACTCTGCCTCCATTGACATCATCGATGACGACAGTATGTATACAACACACTTGTATCAATGCTTGCTTTTGCCAGAGCTTGAGCAATTGAGCATGTACGTAACTGAGTAAGCAGATGTGTCTGTGTATCTAACCTGGTTTTGATGCTTTACTTTGCGGATCAAAGCCAAGCTTATAAGCCAGTATGTCGAGAGGCGTTAGCAAGTACATATTTACCAATTTTTTCCCCATTGCTTGTCTTACTTTTTACTTGAGCACCTAGTAAGCTGTTTCTCCTTCTCAACAGCTGTGACAGTGGTACTGAGCACCACAGAGTACAGAGTGGTAGAGAACGAGGCAGCAGTCCAGGTGTGTGTCGATCTACAGCCACAAGATGCTCTGCAGAGAGCTCTGGAAGTCACCCTCTCAACAACTCCCAGAACTGCTTCAGGTTACCTGCCTGCCAGTGTTTGTTGCCTGTTGCAAATGTAGTAGTTTGACCTTTCAACCGTGGAAGACAGTAATCTTAGGGAAGTCACTTTAAATCATCTTTGCACAGATTCACTATAATTATAGCAACCGACAATGTAAAAGCCTCTGTTATTTACGAGCTTCAGTTAGCAATGAACGTGCTTCGAGAGGGTGGTGTTCAACTGGTTATGTGTTAAATAAGCCTTAAGTCTCTCTACTTTTCTATTTCCCCGCAGATGGTCCAGACTTCACTGGGCAAGACCTCACCCTCACTTTCAACGAGGGAATTGATCAGATTTGTAGGGACATCCCCATCACCAACGACGAAGTGACCGAGACCGACGAGGAGACGTTTGAGGTGGTCATCTCTAGCACTGACCCTCAGGCTGACGTTGGTACTCCAAACAGAGCTAACGTCATCATCGAAGATGACGACCGTAAGTTGTAGCTGATCCAGACTCATTTTTATTGTCCTGGTCTTAGAATGAAATAGTGGTTTGGGTATACATCTGGGCTCTGCCCTGAGCCCTCTAGTAACCTGTCTTATTGAGCTGCTGTGGTGTCCGCGGCTTCCTGTAGGTGCTGTGATTGGGTTTGAAGAGACAGAGTACACAGTGTCTGAGAATGGAGGGTCTGTGCCTGTGGTGGTGTCTGTTCTGGAGGGAGAGCTTTCCGAAGATGTGACTATCGTCTTCTCCACTGAAGACGGCACTGCAACTAGAACATGTATGTGTAACCACTACTCTGTTCTTTTCCTCTCCCAAGCTAACGAAATACTTGCTACAATCTCGCTACAGTTCCAGTAGACTACACTGCGACGACACGAACGCTGGTGTTTGGTCCTGGGAACACAGAACAAACCATTGCCGTCCCAATCTCCAACGACCAGGTCCTCGAAGACATTGAGAACTTTTTCGCCAATCTCGTCCTCTTGAGGAATCCCGATGATTTGGACGTGAGCGTGGAGCCGTCTCGGACCGAAATAACCATCACAGACTTTGGAGATGGTGAGCTAATCGTGATAGCCTCATAGCATCTTAACAAAAGTTGATTTTTGAGTTTATAATTATTTTTCCTCTGACAAAATTAAAGAACATTGTCACTCCTTAATACAGGAATTAATGTCCAATAAGGCCACACAATACAATCCAAGTACCATTGGTTGGAGCTAGGGTGTGATCACAAAATATCGCGTGAAAACTCTATTTTGCTCTGCCACCAACAGATGTGGAGATAGGGCTGGAGAGGACTTCCTACACCACAGAGGAAGAGGTAGTCAATGTGGAAGTGTGTGCGAGGATACAGCGAGGCATGCTAGAGAGAGAGGTCCAGGTGGATCTACAGACATTCGACGGAACTGCCGTCAGTAAGTCACCTCCAGAACCACACACCTTTTTCGGAGCAGCTACATACAGTGGAGCTGAACTCCGTCGAAAATGAAAGATTGTTTTAACTCTGTTAACCTAGTTATACTCTTTATCAGAACAACAAAGGTTCACTGTGTAGCTATATATCCATCATGTTTCCTACGAAAATACCACAAAATGCTACAAACTGAACCAATTCCCCCAGGTACGGGATCTAACGCAGACTACACCTCTAGCAGTGTAACTCTGACATTTGACGCCTCTAACACTCTTGAGTGTGTCCGTATCCCAATCAACGACGATGATGATCTCGAACCAAACGAGATGTTCACTGTCTCCCTCACTACCACTGAGCCTGACGTCATCCTCGACCCCAGGAATGGAGAAGTCATCATTCTCAATCGCGACGGTCAGTGTCTCCTTTTGTCTCCTTTTGCCTCCCTCCCTGTTCTCTTTTTTTCTTTTTTCTATCATTTTCTCTTTGTGTTTTAATTTTTTTCGGTTTTTCTGTCGGTGTGTGTATGTAGAAGTGACGATAGGGTTTGGATCCCCGATCTACTCTGTCGATGAGAACGAGGGACCGCAGGAGGTGTGTGTGGTGGTGATGAGCGGTGGGTTCCAGATCCCTGTCAGAGTCACTGTCAACAGTAGAGATGGTTCAGCTTCCCTATCATCAGGTCTGTCCATCCATACCCCATACATTCATTGAAGCCTTTGGGTCACTATAGTTTGAAGGTGGTTGCACATTTTCACAAAGACAGAGACAGTTGGTAGCAAATAGCTTTTTAGTATCGTACACATAAGCATATAGGGACCTATGGTAGATTAGATGAAATTTAGTTCATTTTCACTTTGATAAAAAATATGTTGCTCGTCACAGATTACACAGCTGTGAACAACAGAGTCCTGACCTTTGAGCCTGGCTCCACTGAGGAATGCTTTGATGTGGGCATTACCGATGACACGGTGGACGAAGAAGATACAGAGGATCTGTTCCTTACGATAACGACCAATCAGGATGGGGTCATCCTCACTCCCGACACCACACGAGTCGTCATTACTGATGAAGACCGTAAGAACATTACTAGGCAGACCAGTGTTTGCGTGGGAGTTGTGTATTTGGGTTTCCCTATTCCCAGCCGGTTTATTGGTTTTCTTCCTCCTATACTTTTGACAAACCAAGGTTGTACAACTTTGGTGTCAGATATGTTTTGCAACTAATTGTGAGTCATTTGTCCTCTCCTGACTCGAGTAAGTTCAACTTCCACGAGTTCATGGTTCAGGATCACATGCAAAAGGTTGCAGCTGTTCATCTTTGTTTTTCTCTTGTGTGGCTTATGCAGAGGTGGTGATAGGATTTGAGCTGACGACTGTGACAGTGACTGAACAACAGGACTCTGCTGAGCTGTGTGCGTCCATCATGGTCAACACTCTGGCGAGGACAGTTGATGTAACTCTGTCCACTCAGCCCGGAACTGCCACAGGTGAGCCAACAGTCAGTAGAAGACAAAACATTGGTAGGAACTCTGGGGAACGTCATATGTGAACTTCATCATGCTAACAAGAAGAGGTTTACTGTCTACACCCATTTCCTCTGTCTGCCACAGCTAATGTTGACTACAGCTCGGTCAGTAATGCAGTGTTCAGGTTCAGCCCGTCGGTGACTCGCCAGTGTACCACGGTCGCTATCAGAGAGGACAACGCGGTAGAGCCAGACAGCGAGACATTCACTGCCACACTGGTTGACACTCCCAGCGAGGGCATCATCCTGCGCCCAGATTTAGCCACTGTCACCATATTGGACGAAACAAGTACGTGAAAACTTCCAGGGAAAAAACAGCCCCCTTTTTGCCGAGCATACACAAAAAAATAATAGGCTCGCACACAATTGCCAATAACTGCCTGTCTATAATATTATACAGTTGCGAGGTTTGGGTTTGAGAGGACAATGTACACTGAGGTGGAGGGCAACATGGAGGAAGTGTGTGTGGTTCTACAGAGTCCCATCAGACTCGACAGAACAGTCACCCCTAGAGTCACCAGCCAAGACATCACTGCCACTGGTAAGATGTAATACGCATTTGCTCTCCTGCTGTGAATAATAAGCCAGTGTGTACCATACTAACCGGTTTTCCTGGCTTTTTCAGGTGGTAGTTTATCTTAGTACTTCACAAAGGTTGAGCAGTGTGGGCCTTCAATAGACTTTAAGACAGCCCAATGAATGTGAAGCACAGACTAATTCACAACTAGAAACACAGACTAATTCACGTATGATACTCAAACTCTCTGTAGCACAAAGTGACTATGTAGCAGTGGATATTGAAATACCGTTTACACCTGGGAGTACGAGAGAGTGTTTCAACGTGAATCTCCTATCGGACGACATTCTGGAGGAAACGGAGCAACTGGGACTGAACCTCGTGCAGACAGAGGAAAGAATGAGTTTTGATCCACAGACGACCATTGTCAACATTCTCAGCAATGGTTTGCACATATAAAATTTATAACTGCACCGATTATTGTGTCTGCTTTCTTTTGCGAAGGTACAGTGGTGATTGGGCTGGAGCCCAGTTCATACACTGTGTCTGAAGTCACGCCGACTCAGGAAGTGTGTGCCACTATCAGAGAGGGGAGCGTTGATAGAGATGTCGTAGTCACTCTCTCAACTCAGCCACGGTCTGCCAGCGGAGGTCAGTCACTACTATATAAAATTATACTCCGTCTCCATAATTATACTTGTCTATATATAATAATAGTTATATTTGGAAAGAGGTGTTTTCTCAAAAGGAGGGTTTTATGAGTCACCTACATAAATTTCTTCATTACGACAAATTAAAGGAAGCGCCTCTGGAAGGGTCCTAAAAAGCCAATTACAAGTTTTCTTTTAAACAAACCAGCACTTGTGCTCAATCTCTTTGCAGGTGGGGTTGACTTTGGTACGAGTTCCGTGGATCTTGTCTTCAACAGTGGAACCACCCGGGCCTGTACCCAGGTACCCATCGTAGACGATGACATTGACGAAGACGACGAGATGTTTGATGTGACTCTCACCACCACTGAAACTGGTATCTCGCTGGCTCCAGACCAAGGCATGGTCACAATCACTGACGATGACGGTACGTTCTTATCAAAAGCTTTCGCACACTATCCTTCATCCTACAAAGCTCACCATTTCAATGATCTCTAGGACGGATATGAACCCTTACTCTTTCCCTATGCTGTAGTTGTGACCATTGGGCTGGTGCCGACTAGTATCACAGTGTCAGAGGACGATGGAGAGGTGGAGTTCTGTGCCGGGGTGACTGGAGACGTAACTCTCGGGAGGTCTGTCCAAGTCACACTCTCTACACGGCCTGGATCTGCCACTGGTAACTACTCATCCACAACACCTGGTAGACTGTTGTTGTCTCACAAATGTCACCAGGTGTTGTAGTTTAGAATCATCAATCAATCAATCAAGAATCATTGACATGCTCTTTAGGTCTAAGCCTACGGAATCCACAATCTCCATTAGTTTGCACTTTTGACATCTCCAAACTTTCAAAATACAGTTTTTTTACCTCATCAATAATACGAGGCCAGCATATCCTTTAAACTACTTAATATGAGGCCTGCATAATTATTTGGAACTATCATACGTCCTCAGCCACAGCCGACTATGGCTCAAGGACAGAGACTCTGGTATTTGACTCGTCCAGTACTACACAGTGTGTAGCGATACCCATCATGACGGACACTATCGTCGAGGGCGATGAGATCTTTACTGTTGTTCTGGAGTCACCCGATGATGTCAACCTGACGCCCGACATGGGAACTGTTACCATCAATGACACCAGTGGTACTAGGCTTATCTGCTCTCCCTCTTCCTACCTTCTTTCTCCCTTTTATCTAATTATCAGATTCCTGTGTTTGTCTCTCTTTCTTTACTATATTATTATTCTTTATTCTGTTTTCCCTCTCTTCCTTGGTTTTCCTTCTCTCTCATATCATATTCCTTCTCTCTCATATTTATTCTTGAAGCTATGTTGCCATCATTGATGCTCTGTCCTTGCAGTTGTCACACCAGAGTTTGATCAGTCAAGCTACACTGTACCAGAAGACGACGGACCAGTGGAAGTGTGTCTTGTGGTGCCAGATGGTCAGATTGAGAGGGAAACTGTAGTTCAACTAGTGACCATGCCAGGAACAGCCACAAGTGAGGCAGCTAGAACAAAAGAACGCTGCAGAATGTTGCATTACATTTTCCTTCATCAGGTGGAGTGGACTATGATGCGGGGCCTTATTCAGTGACATTCACAGTGGGATCAACCCGCCAGTGTGTAGAGATAGGTATCCCTGATGATGGCACTCCAGAGGATGATGAGACTGTCGTAATATCCATTCCTCCATCTCCTGATGTATCTCCTCCTGATCCCACCACTATCACCATCATTGACGATGGTAGGCCACATCTGCCCTTATGATGGAAGTATATCATCTTTCTCTCTCTCCACTTCAGATGTGGTGATAGGATTTGAAAGGACAATATACACGGTAGGAGGAGATGATGGTCAGGTAGAGTTGACTGTATCAGTACTGGAAGGAGTGCCCTCTGGAGATGTGGTAGTTAGACTCAACACCAGAGACAATACTGCCACATGTGAGTGAACCTCCCTTGACCACTAACAGAACTTTCTACCAACCATTATTCCATAATCAAGCACTTTTCAACGCGTAACATTTTCTTTTGCCTGCAGCTCCTGCTGACTATTCTCCTATCGATCAATTGCTCACATTCAGTCCATCAAGAACTAGTGTTACAATACCCATCGACATAGCTACCAGTGTTCTCAACGAACCAGGGGAAAACTTCTTTGCCGATCTGACTCTCGTATCGTCTGGTGATGACAATGTTATCTTGGAACCAGATGAGGCTGAAGTAATGATAATTCAAGTCGGTGGTAAGTCTTATGATTTTACAAAGTGCATAGCACCGAAAACGATTGCTGGTGAATAGTAGACGAATATTATTAGGCTCCTTTGCTGTATAAAGGCCTTGACTGTAAAAAACTTTGTTTTTGGTGTCACACAGCTGCAAGGATAGGGTTTGAGAGGACAGAGTATGTGGTGGATGAAGGAGATGGTTCAGTGACTGTGGTGGTACGTGTTCTGGACTGGGCCACTGAGTGGAGATGTTGAGGTGGAATTCACTACTGCTGATGTATCTGCCACTAGTTCAGGTAGCATGTCTCTATATCTCAGTGAAAATTCATTTTACATCTATCATACTTACAGCTCCTGTAGACTACACCTCTACTTCCCGTACCTTGACCTTTGGACCCAGTACCACTAGTCAGTCTGTCAACATTCCCATCAATAATGACGATGTCGTGGAGACTGTCGAGAACTTTATTGCTAGCCTCACTCTCGGAACAGAGGACGCCAATGTTGTGATCAACCCAGCCAGAACTACTGTCAGCATCAATGATAACGATGGTACAGAAATCATTGATAGTCCACTCTATTGTTAACTACACATTGAAAGTTTAAGTAAGAGGCACCTTGGGTACATCAAACATTTTATTCAGAGGCGGTGTCCCTTATTCAGAAGTAGTGTAATGTATTAGTGAGGAAGAACAAGTGTTCTTTATAGAGAGGTATCCTTTATTGGGTCAATGTTTCACTCTACATACTTCTGTTCTCCATTTCTTCCCCAGTGTTCAATCCATCTTTTCAGTTCCCTGAATACACTGTTGTTGAGAATGAAGGACCAGTCACAGTGTGTTTGTTAGTGCCTGCAGGACAGCTAGAGAGAGCAGTGTCTGTCACTTTCGCCACCTTCGACTTACTTGCCACGGGTAAGACACAAAGCCATGGGCCTTTTTTCCGAATTTTTGTCCTTTGCTAAAGTCGCGCGCTTGATTCTGACTTTTTTGTCTGTTGCTTAAGTCATGTTTTTACTGACTTTGAACTAATTGACAGCATCTATTAAGCTGTTTTATTCTCTCTTGGTTTTGTCAATTGTAGCCAGCCAAGACTACATGCCCCAGGATCTCCAGCTAACCTTTGAACCTGGAGACACCCGGCAATGCCGACTTATTCCAATCATTGACGACCCAACCCCTGAGGATAACGAGCCGTTTACCGTCAGGGTGACAGTGCCTGATGGACCGGTCATTGAGACAATCGTCACCATTATTGATGATGACGGTAATATATCCACTCTACAGCTATTGTCGCTTTTCCAAGTTCTTTCTCTCTAAATTTTGTAAGGGAAGACCTTTGGCATTAACAAAATCTATCTCACCAAATAGCTTTCCTGCCACTGAATTACTTCTTACTCTAAGTATGCACTATTTGTAAATAGACTTCAACTTTTTTGTGGGCTAAGTTGGTAGTGGTGGTGTTGTTTCATCGCAGAGGAGTGTCTGCAGCTACCAGACATTCCGTTTGGCTCTGTGACTCAGACAGGCAGACAAGTAGGAGACACTGCTACCTACACCTGCGATCCTGGATTCGACCTGATAGGGTCACCGACTAGGACCTGTACCCAAACTGATCCCGACACTGCAGATTTCAATGGACAAGAACCAGTCTGCAGACGTACGTGTCTATACTGTCTGATATCAACAGTTCATGCACAGTGGAACCCCTCTAATCTGGATGCTGGTGGGACAGAAGAAAGTTCCACATTAAGGAAATGTTTTGAGAGGCATGCACGAACAGAAAAGGTGTCCTAATATTTCAGAGGTGTCTGTAGAGAGGGCACTTGGATCATTGCCACTTGAAATAATTAATTATTCGTGGACAACTTTTTAGTCATTATCTTTCCTTTACTTTTAAACTGTTTGTCAAATATAGGTGTGTTGGTTATTTACAATGGTGTGTTTCTTGCTACTCTGCAGCTCAATGTGTAGATCTACCAGACATTCCGTTTGGCTCTGTGAGTCAGACAGGCATAGCGGTAGGAGACACTGCTACCTATACCTGCGATCCTGGATTCGACCTGATAGGGCACCAACTAGGGCATGTACCCAGATTGCTCCCGACACAGCAGATTTCAATGGACAAGAACCAGTCTGCAGACGTACGTGTCTATATTAACTATTTGTGGACAACTTTTTAGTCATTATCTTTCCTCTACTTGTCAAATATAGGTGTGTTGGTTTTTTACAATGGTGTGTTTCTTGCTACTCTGCAGCTCAATGTGTAGATCTACCAGACATTCCGTTTGGCTCTGTGAGTCAGACAGGCATAGCGGTAGGAGACACTGCTACCTACACCTGCGATCCTGGATTCGACCTGATAGGGCCACCGGCTAGGACCTGTACCCAAACTAGTAATGGAGGTGCCACATTCAGTGGGGATGCACCAACCTGCAGACGTAAGCTCTAGTAGCACGTAAAATTTCTCTCTGTTGTGAGTGAAAACCAGATGTGTGTATGTATGCACTGGTTTTAATCAGGATTCTAATCAGTATTCTAATCAGTATTCTAATCAGGATTCTAATCAGGATTCTAATCAGGATTCTAATCCGGATTAGCTATCTCTGGCTAATTCACATTGTTCAAACGTGTCGAGTCACTTGGGAGACGTACGTGTCTATACTGTCAGTTCATGCACAGTGGCACCCCTCTAATCTGGATGCTAGTAGGACAGAAGAAAGTTCCATTCTTTGGAAATGTTTTGAGAGACATGCACAAACAGAAAAGGTGTCCTAATATTTCAGAGGTGTCTGTAGAGAGGGCACTTGGATCATTGCCACTTGAAATAATTATATTCGTGGACAACTTTTGTTTAGTCATTATCTTTCTTTACTTTTAAACTGTTTGTCAAATATAGGTGTGTTGGTTATTTACAATGGTGTGTCTTGCTACTCTGCAGCTCAATGTTGTAGATCTACCAGACATTCCGTTTGGCTCTGTGAGTCAGACAGGCATAGCGGTAGGAGACACTGCTACCTACACCTGCGATCCTGGATTCGACCTGATAGGGTCACCAACTAGGGCATGTACCCAAACTGATCCCGACACAGCAGATTTCAATGGACAAGAACCAGTCTGCAGACGTACGTGTCTATATTAACTATTTGTGGACAAATTTGTAGTCATTTTGTTTCCTCTGCGTTTTAACTGTTTGTCAAATATAGGTGTGTTGGTTATTTACAATTTTGTGTTTCTTGCTACTCTGCAGCTCAATGTGAACAGCTACTAGACATTCCGTTTGGCTCTGTGAGTCAGACAGGCATAGCGGTAGGAGACACTGCTACCTACACCTGCGATCCTGGATTCGACCTGATAGGGCCACCGGCTAGGACCTGTACCCAAACTAGTAATGGAGGTGCCACATTCAGTGGGGATGCACCAACCTGCAGACGTAAGCTCTAGTAGCACGTAAAATTTCTCTCTGTTGTGAGTGAAAACCAGATGTGTGTATGTATGCACTGGTTTAACAGATTCAATCAGTATTCTAATCAGTATTCTAATCAGGATCATCAGGTTCATCAGTTTCTAACAGGATTCTAATCAGGATTCTAATCCGGATTAGCTATCTCTGGCTAATTCACATTGTTCAAACGTGTCGAGTCACTTGGGAGACGTACGTGTCTATACTGTCAGTTCATGCACAGTGGAACCCCTCTGATCTGGATGCTAGTAGGACAGAAGAAAGTTCCATTCTTTGGAAATGTTTTGAGAGACATGCACAAACAGAAAAGGTGTCCTAATATTTTAGAGGTGTCTGTAGAGAGGGTTTCTACTGCACTTGGATCATTGCCACTTGAAATAATTAACTATTCGTGGACAAATTGTTAGTCATTATCTTTCCTCTACTTTTAAACTGTGTTTCTTGCTACCTGTAGCTCAATGTGAAAGGCTACCAGACATTCAGTTTGGCTCTGTGAGTCTGACAGGCATAGCGGTAGGAGACACTGCTACATACACCTGCGATCCTGGATTCGAACCTGTGGGGGGCACACCCACCAGGACTTGTACCCAGATTAGCCCTGGAGTTGCCACATTCAGTGGGGATGCACCAACCTGCAGACGTAAGCTCTAGTATAACACGTACAATTCTCTCGTGTGAGTGTATATATGCACTGGTTTTAAACAGGATTCTAATCCGGATTAGCTATCTCCGGCTAATTCACATTGTTCAAACGTGTCGAGCCACTCGGCAGACGTATGCTCCCAACAAAACCATTTGAACAAACAAAACATTGTCAAACATGTTGAAACCTACCCAGAATAAATTATGCACATCAAAATTTGGGTGTTGAAATAATCTGACAATAAGTCTATCAACTTTTAGAGATAGCAGCTGGAAGGTGTATATGGTAGTAATGAATAGAGCTTTCTCTCCCCCAGCGCTGTGCGAAGATCCACCAGAGATTGTCTCTGGGACAGTCACACCCACTGGCAACAGTGTTGGAGACACGACAACCTATTCCTGTGACCCCGGGTTTAATGTGGTGGGGACTACGACATTAATTTGTCAGCAGGTCTCGGCATCGACAGCTGAATGGATGCCCGACCCACCTACATGTGAACGTACGTCGACTTATTGCTGCACTAGCAACGAGACAATGCATTCTCTTGGTTCTGCAGGAATAACTGTTCGTTTTGCTCTTCCTTCTTACACCTTCACTGAGAGTGGCGTGCAAGGCTCCATTGATGTAATTAGGACAGGGGTTCCCTCCTCCCCGTTCTCCATACGCGTCACCGGAGGTAAACTTCAACAATTTGCATCGACTGTATATACAGAAACTGTTACGTTTGCTCATCAGGACCAAGTACCCAGCCAAATATTGAGCAGTCTGCCCCTGTAATCAATGAGCTCATTACATTTTTGGCTGGACCGGGAGCTCCGGACACTATCACAATAACCTTTCCTCTGACTGATGACGACGTGGCTCTCGAGGAGATAGAGCGTTTCTTTGTTGGACTAATGGTGGAGAACCCCGACAGTGGAGTGATCATCACCCAGCCAGAGAGGACACAAATCAATGTCCTTGACGATGATGGTGAGATATAATTAATACAGTAAGAACTCTGAAGAAAGAAGTGACATTGAAAGTGTCCCATTCTCAGAGGTGTCTTTTTATTCCGAGGTAGTAGCTTTTAATGACAGCACAGTAAATAGCACTTCCTCGCGATGCATTGCTTTCCCACTTGATGGTATCCTGTTGTAGCTACAGCAGTAATCTGAGTGACCTGAACTCTCTCTCTCTCTGTTGTGTAGGGGTGACGGTGGAGTTTGGTAGTCCGGAGGCCAGTTTCAATGAGAGTGACGGAGTGTACAGAATGTGCATCGTGAAGGACAGGGAAACGGCTCAGCGGGTGACTGTGCAAATAACTGACACCCCCGGCACTGCTGACAGGAACCAAGGTACATTGAGAAAGTAATACCATAGAAATTCTGGCTAAATATGGCTATCTACATCTTTACAAAGAAACTCCTCTCTAGCAAAGCTATACACACAGTTCTGCCGTTGTACTTATTTTTACACATAGCTCTTTTCTCTACTAGTGTTACTAGTACACGAGTTATTTAACATCCTATTTCTCATAATATTATTCAGACTACAGCCCTGTGCCACTGCGACTAGTTTCCATAGAGCCAGACAACCTCAGGACCTGTTTCACTGGACTCATTATTGATGACCTCATTGGCGGGGAGGGGGTGGAGTTTTTCAATCTCAACATACCCTCGCCTACCCAGCCCGGAGTCAACGTCGGTCTGGATATCACCACTATCAATATCATCGATGATGACGGTGAGCCCCTGTCGTTATGGTAGCAAATTAAAATTCATCTTTCCACCTCTATCTCACAATTCCTTTTTAAGTGGCACATGTTGCTGAAAGACCTAGAGCTATTAGAATTCCACAAACACTACCTTGTTCCCCCACCCTCTCTTTTCTCCTCTCTCTTCATTGATTTCAACCCCTCTCCCTTCACCTCTCCCTCTGTCTCCACCAATGTGTTTCCACGTGCAGTTGTGACGGTGGTGATGGTGAGACCGACTCAGCCAGTACCAGAGGTTAGTGGCGAAGCTACCGTCTGTGCCCGCAAAGACATTGCCACTGCCGGGCCTGTAGACGCCATCATTACCACTTCACCCGGCAAAGCTGCAGGTAAACTTTAGGCAAAGAAAGCACAAATAGCTGAGATCTCATTTAGTTGGAACTACTGCTTTTCGCCGATTTTCTTTGTCAAAATGTAGCCTACCCTTGTAATGTTGTTTGTAAGGAAGATAGAGCTAAAGTTAGACCTCCTCATTACAACTGCTCACTGCAGATGGATCTGACTATGTTGGTGGCTCATACACTGTCACATTTGGACCGGAGCCAAATGCCATTGCGTGTGCTACCATTGGTATAGTGGTGGACGGCGTGTTTGAGGACATTGAGAATTTCGACACAAACCTCTTGCCTCCAGGCACAGGAAACGTGGTGGTTGGACCTCAAGACACTACCATAGTCCTCATTGATGATCTAGGTATAGTTGTGTCTCTGATTATTTTAACGGGAGTATATAGTGATTATTGAAGAGCCAAAGTATGCTTTCCCTGGTTAATCCCTCTCTAAGGACACCCCTGAAATCAAGACAGTACACATAATCTTACAGTTAAAGCCCTGAAAGCCCAAGACAGTCTAATAATGACAATTCCGTCTGTCTCATTGGTCTTCCACTGAGTTTTGTGAGTGTAGCTACCAGTAGAAGAGAGCAGTTCCACCCTCCTGAACAGATATATACCTCCTGCTGTTTGTCTGTTACCTGCAGGAGATGATGTAGTGAATGACACTCTGATTGGAGACCCGCTACTGACTGTTCCTCTACCTGAAAATAGTCTGGTAGCCGTGCCAGGAGTGCGTGAAGCCTCGCTGTGCTACGAGGTCCATGGAAAAGACGATGCTTGGTTTAACGTACTCTCAGACGGCTGCGTGTCTGTCAACGCTCACTACTTCCGATTCGACGACAACTTTAACTTTGTCGACAAGATTGCCATCCGAGCGGTGGACGAGAGGGGTAACTGCAAGAATATCTTGATTGATCTCAACGGGTGCAGCACTAGTATCGACGGGACCGTTGTACAAGCAACTGCTCCGTATTGCACAGATGGTGTGTTTGTTCGGCCCAGCAGGCAGGCTAACAGGGTGAGAGTCAGTGTCCCGAATTGCAACGAGACGTCCAATCTTGTAATGTGGACAATCTGCCAGCGAAACACTCTGATGGATCCGTTTGACATGATGCGAACCTACACTGTGGACATGTTAAAGTTTGTCATTGCCCGTGGTTCTAGCCTAGGAGCCAGCTCACACGGAATAATTGGTGAGCTTTGATCCATTCATGCACGCCACAATTGCCTGAACACATGTGCTTTTTCATAAGTATTTTCTCACTATAGTCAACTGTTGAGGCATTACTACACTGTTTTGCACACTATATACCTGTACAACTATCCTGAGTATCCACACTTGGAGTTGACTACTCAACTTTTTAGCTAACGGTTGATGTGTAAAAGTTCCACTCTAACATTATGTTGTTAATCCCATTCACAGGTCAGTTCTGGAATATTCCAATCAGTCTGAGTATCTACAGTGGCGAGGCAGCTGATGCAGAGTACGGTCAGCGCTACATGATCCAGGTCAACCACCCAGACAGCGAGCCTCGAATCTTCACTGGTCTCCTCGCCGACTACTCCTGGGAACGAGACAGATCCAGCTGTTTCTACGTCGGGAACCGTCAGGCCGGCACCATCATGGAAGTGCAGGATCCAAACGACCCTGTGATTGAGGGGTCGTACTCTGATTACGAGACTGCCTCAGACTTCAGTACCGACTTCAAGTTTAGTCATTTTGACGAGGGCAGGTGCTTGTGAGGTCATGCAGCCGGTTTTTTCAGTTTTTCTACTGTGGCTGCTGCCGAGACAATACGTTTTATCATACTAGCATTAGACTAAAGTTTTAGCTTGCATCAGTATAATACATGTATGAAATATGAACAATTCATGTTTATTACCTCAGGACTTACATTGGAGTCCAATAATTATTTGTAACCACAACCATGATAACGCACGCACGCGCAGGTAACTCTAACGCGCCGTCGCGTCCTAGCTATTATATACACACCCTGATAAACCGGCTCGCCAGCCGCACGGAAGCTGGCCGGCCGGCCGGCCATAACATTAACTTCCCCGTTCATATGACGGAGCGTGATCAATCAGGAAATTATACGGGGAAGCTGTCAGCGCCTGTCCTAATTGCCGTAATTAACGCCCCCTGCGGCTTCTTTTCCGCGCGGACGCGGATGTATGTGTCACCGTGCAGCAGGGCGCACGCGCACACGCAGTGGAAATGAGAAGTTGAAAACTTCCCTCACTCGTGACTTGCGTCACTAGATCAGAGGGAGGGTGGGGTTGAAACGTCGTCATTGCATCCGGTTAGTGTGCTGGAAAATTCCCCTGCTTGCCACTCTTTGCCATTCACAATGTGCAGTGCATGTCTCCAGATAGCTAGCTAGAGCTGTTCAATCAAGTAATAGCTAAACTTCCCCATGTATTCATGATTGCAAAGAGCTCAGTGCCCTTCTCTCAACCAAGATTAATACAGTAATCATTAGATGTAGGCTAAGTTTATCCATACTGTGTAGGTAGGCTAGATGCTCTCTCCTTTAGTTTCAGCATGAGGTTATAATATACCAGCATGGCACCAAAGGCTTGGGCCAGTGCAAGCCTTGGCTGGTATCCAAGCCTGAGTGGGCGTCTCAGA